AAAATATGGTACCTATGTAGTTTTTTGAAACACCCAGAATATAGAAACTAATTTTTGAAACTGGGTCACCTAGATAACTTTCTCTTGAAACACCTTGACTAGCTGTGGCGCTTGGAAAAGTTGGGAACCCAAACTGGATTATACTCTCTGCTTACATCACACTGACCGTCGATTGGTTAAAATGACTGATAAGTATCGTTGCTATGTTATTGAATATAATAAAAATTATTTGCTGCTTGATGAAGCGTTCAAAAAGGGGGAATAACGAATTGAGCAGTAATATTAGAGCAAAGTAGTTATAATCTGGTAGGAGCCAACACTGGCAACGTTGTGTGGCGAAGTTTCCTGCCCTCTGTAGTAGAGAGGCGGAAAACGCCGGATCAAATAATCAAATACGGAAGAGAAAAGTGAACTGAGCGCTGTATTTGGGGTTATAAGAGAAACGCGTTATCGACTTCTGATTTAATTGAACAAATTAGGTCGTGCGGTATTAGAGATCTGGGATCGGGAAAATATATGTAAAGATTTTTTTCCACGGTGCTGTTTGTAAATTTTTTTGATAGAATGCGCTGCGAAAAAAAGTGTCGTCAGGCGTCGAAGGAAACAGCGACGCTAACGGAGACATCACCAATGAATGCCGAGCAGGGCTTCTACAAAAATACAGGCCGAGGCTGATAACATATTGATTTTTCAAAACGTTTGTTGAACCAATCACAGACTTAGAACTATTTTTAAAGGGTGAGGTTGTCTGGTTTTTCTGAGCTAGTGCAAATAAGCTAAATGTGAAGTGAGAGCCGCTTTATATAATTTTGGCGAGCGAAAGCTCGCTGGATCGGCTGATGCAGGTGGCTACACTTTTCCGTGAGTCCACCACTTTGCTGGGGGAAACTATGGAATCGGGCGGAGGTGGGCCACCACCGGATGCATCGGGTCCTCCAGGCCAATTGTCGTACGACAATTATAACCATCCAGTGAATTATCCCCATAAGTACAAGCTGTAAGTATTCACTTTAGACACCCTCTATTGCATTTCACGCGCTGTAATCACATGTAAACAATGGCATTTCGATTGCTATTTGATAATATGCGAAGTGCAGGGCCCCCTTGCGCTAGTGCAGCTTACGCTTCCCTAAAAATTTCCAGCTTTTCATCCCGAAATCTCCCAGTAGCATCCCCTCAACTCGGCAGTTTCAAATGCCCTTTTAGGGGTCGCTTTTTTCTGCAAAATGGAGTGTTTCCCTCAGCAACAAATCCTTTTTCCCGGGATCAATATAAATTTGTTACAAAATAAATACACGGGCAAAAGGAGTTGAACTTGACATATTTGGTTATATTTTTCATTCACTTTAACTAGCTGCTTTCTTAATCGCTTATATTTGAATAACAGCTGATACTTAATTCATGTGTAAGTTAATAGCTCAAGCATTTCTAGTCAGATAATGGAAAGATTTGGTTCAAAATCAACTTAATTATATAAATCAACATCCCACCCTAGTAATTCACTGCGGTTTAGGTCCCAGCACTAATTTTTTGTGAAATTATTGGAAATATATGGGCGTTATTTTATTAACAAAAACCGTGCAAAAACGCATATTTATTGCGTTGCTATCAGCATCTGGATTCTGAATGGCTTCAGTACTATTTCTTAAAGCTCACGACGAATTGTCTCTTCAGTGCTCCTTTTCGCATATCGCTAATAAATAAATTCAAAGTTAAAATTGTGGGATTATATGGGGGGTTTTACCCTCAGATTCCTAGGATCGGTGAACCTGAATTGCAATTTAGCCAGCTTAATTTCTACTTAATTTAATAAAGATCTGTTTGGAAAAGATGTTTTTTTTTGTACAGGGCTTCCGTCGAGGTATCCAAAATACGTATAGTTCGTATATGAATTATATGACTAATTTGAAGCAAAAGGTTTTACTTTTCGTACACTCACAGTGAACTTTAATGGTACTTTCATAATTAGCAACTTGGCTGCAATTAGAGAAGAAATGCTAATTATGACAATCATTCACATTTTTTCTTTTTAATCAGACTTCACACAGCGTTTAATGCGATAAAAACAACACGGATGATTACAAGTGGGAACAAGAACTATTTAGAGCTTTAATAATAATTATTACTCTGCCATTGTGCTTTTACGAAAAAAAATTGCTTAAACTTAGTCACTGAATAGATATGTTACAGACGATATATAGAATCAGACCGTATATATACAGACTAGGCCATATATATACGGCGTAATACAGCAGACCGTATGCAAAAAGACATGTCATTTAATATACAGACTAGACTGTTAATATACGGACGATTGCTGTCCAGGCCGTTTGTTCAAGGGCAATGATGTTTTATGTGATGTTTATATTTTCAATTGTTAACTGCAAAAATTGTGGTAAAAATAGTTTGTTCTTTGTTAAAGGCGACGCTAAATACGATATATTTCAGATATGAAATTACAAAAGTAAATCAGATGTAGTCATTAATAATATAAGCTCAAATTTAAAAATATAGGTTTTACAAACAACTGTATAAGCGAACAAAATAGGTTGCCCAGAACAGCCGGGGTTTACCTAAAGGGTACCTACTGGCCAGTGTGCACAGAACACATATGTATGTTTCTCAGAATTTGCAGTATTTCACTAAGAAAGTGGTAGATCAATTTGCCTTTTTAACGTTGGATTTAATTAGTTCGGTTTGTATCGTTTGTTTGTTTTTTTATAATTATTTATTTAATTGTTTTAATAACAACGTGTTTATAAAAACAACCTACTCTTTTCTTATACCTAATATTAAGGGTACTTCAAGCTCGAACCAAAATAAATGCCAACCTAAAACTGCATAGTCTGCATTAACCGGGGTTTAGTTCGTTATGTTAGTCCGTATATAAACAGTCTAGACCTTTTACAAACCGACTAGTCCGTTTCTTGAAGGACAAATTTGTTATACATATGGACTGAAATCTTCAGTCAGTTTATATACTGCCGGTTTTGCATGTAACAGATATACCAAGTAGGAAGGTAATTCAAATATATCGAGTGACACCCTGTTTTTTTAACTCCATATTTTATATTTGAAATTCGTTATTATAATAACAAAAATATTCATTATCCATTCCTGGGCAAGAATGCGATATGATAAAGATTTTTGCCAATAAAACTTCAAAATGTAACAAGGCGTTATCTCAGTACAATTATCTTTTGCATAATCTTAAGCCGGTCCAATCCTGGGCCATTGTTTATTTACATAGTTTTTCAAGGAGAATTTTATGAAATATTTAACGAGGACATCCCTTCTTTTTACTGAATGTCTTAACATCAAGCTTGCGGTTGGCTGCATCCAAGAACCCAATTTTTTCTTTAGTTTCTTACTAGCTACTAACATTTTGTAAAAGAATTTTACATTGGATATTCAAAGGTAAGTATGTCGTTTGTAATTTTCAAGTATTTCTGCTGTTAAACACTGATAAGCATCTACTTATACATTTGATAGAGTGAGTGTTCCCGAGTTACGCGCACGCAAGTTTAAAAAATGTTACAAATACATTTATGGCGAAAACTAAATCAAACTGCATCAAAGGTTGAAACAATTTAAGCAATGTCATTCACTGAACAATATTTCGAGGTTTAATTACAATTTGGTATAAAATATCCGTTGCTACTGACCGAATATTTTGTATTTAATATATAGGATTTATTTGCCTTTACATTACATATTTTGCGCACGATACTGGAAATGTGAATTAAAAGTATTGACATTTGTAACGAATCAGATTAGAAAAATGCAAGAAGTAAATTGATAAAACTGGAACATTTTGCATTTTTTCAATCAATTTTACAGTATTTCTATTATTAAGTCGCGTTCATTCAATTTGGCATTTAACGGATGTATATTTTTGTGTTTCTGCTCAAACTAAGTTAGTTTGGGATCGAATTGGAGATAGGCGATAAGCATCTGTAATATTCTTAGATCCGCACTACGGCATTGTAAAAATTATTCGGCTACGTTGATTGGGGATTAGTTACCCATTACTTGAAGACAGGAATTTTTTTCCAGAAATATGAAACTGGAAACTAACGATGATGGCTATGAAACCAGTGCGGATATGCTGATGAACCCTGCTAACGTGAACCACAACCATGAAGTGAAACCGAAAAAAATGGAAGACCCTTATAGTTTCATCGACGACGATCCCATTCCATTGCTTCCATCAGTTCAAGGACCTACACACATGATGCATCCGATGCCACCACTGAACCCAATAATGCCTGGTCCCAAGAAAAGAGGCAGGAAAAAGAAAATTAAACCTGAGTAAGCGCGACCTATATGAAGGCCCATTTTTTATGTGCCTAGAAATGCATGTCCTCAATTCCATGGGTGCCTTTTTTTGTTTCCAGACCTGGCGATTTCCCTCAAGAGATGAACGTAGGAATTCCTAGGCCTATTAAAGAACGCAAAAAGCATGATAGATTTAACGGCATGCCCGAAGAAGAAGTCTCAAAGCGAACGTTACCAGATCATCTGACTGAAAACTTAGATATTATAATTGTGAGTAATCATCTACCAACCAAGCTGGAAATGCCACAGTTGTACAACGGCCTGGAATCAACAAGAATTGCTTCTACTTTCAGATTGGAATCAATCCAGGGCTATTTGCTGCTTACAAGGGTCACCACTATGCTGGACCAGGAAATCACTTTTGGAAGTGTTTATATTTGTCTGGGCTCACCCCACAGCAAATGTCTGCTGATGAAGATTATAAATTGCTTCAGGTATATCATACATGTTTTCACTGCATTCCGATTAAAAAATGGGATTTATTCCTAAAAGTCTTCATATTATTTTATGCACCTGTATGCTTTTTCTGTTATGATTTTACTGAAAATGTATCTTTAGAAATGTTCCATATTTTAGGTCGGAATAGGGTTTACAAATATGGTTCAACGTGCTACAAAGGGAAGTGCGGATTTAACTCGTAAAGAAATTAAGGAAGGTAGCCAAATTCTGTTAGACAAATTAAGAAAATTTAGGCCTAAAATTGCGGTGTTCAACGGCAAGCTGATTTACGAAGTTTTCTCGGGGAAAAAAGACTTTAAGTTTGGAAGACAACCGGATCTGGTAGAGGGCACTAGCATCGTAAGTACATATTTATTTAAATGTGTAGCGTTTCGCAATCATTTCCATTTTAACTCGCATATTTACTTAATAAGCCTCATGCAAATTTCAACGTCTTATTTAGAATGAAGGTGTTTACGCACTCTTATGAAGACCAAACCTAGGATTTGTCATTTCAAGTGTGTACTTGTTTTAAAATTAAATCTTTTGTCGCGAAAGGTAGCAAAGTAGAGGTGAAAACATTAAATTGAGAGATCGTCGTTTAAGGCTTCACTTTTAATCTTTCAAAAAAACTTGGTGACCAAGAAAGCGAGAACAAAAGGAAGGAAAGTTCCTACTATAAGCTGGAGCATTTTTTAGCTGCTCACAAATGTTACGTTAGTCACAAGCACACCGTCTAATGTCTAAAAATAAATACACTTGAATTTACAAGGTTTTAGTAAACCGTTTGCAGCCTGGTAGAAAAAAGAGCGCCTGATATAGCTTACATGTAATACAGTGTTAATGATTAAATCCAAGCAGCACTTTTATTGCAGCATATGTGGGTAATGCCCTCATCTAGCGCAAGATGTGCTCAGCTTCCCCGTGCAGCTGACAAGGTGCCATTTTATGCTGCTCTAAAGAAATTCAGAGATTATTTAAACGGTTTAATACCGGAAATCGACGAAAACGAAATGGTTTTTAGTGAACCTAAAGTAAAATCATGTTATGAGGCGGAGCCAAAAGCTGATCTGTACCCGGAACTTACAGATATTAGCAATGCTGTGATTAAAAATGAAGATGGTACAATAATACCATGCAAAAAGAAACGTGGGCGGCCAAAGAAAATTAAAGTGGAGGGCGAGGAGCCGCCACCGAAGCCAGTTGTGCGGAAACCGCCACAACCCACCATTAATAATTGCGGTGATTTTCCAAAGAAAAAGAGAGGTCGGCCTAAGAAAGTGAAAATGGACAGCGGAGATTTGACTCGAATGGAGAATAATGGGCCTGCCAATATGTCGCAGTGCTTTTCAAATCCATCGCCAATCCAGTCGCCTAATAATTTTTATCAGATGGGTCCCGCAATGACACCACCAAGTAATGCAGGAAATATGTATAATTCACAGCCTCCAGTCTATAATCAGTCTCCAAGACCGCCATACAGCCAGTCACCTCGGCCGGCTTATAGTCAGTCGCCCAGACCGGCATATAGTCAAAGTCCAAGGCCAGCCTACAGCCAATCTCCAAGGCACCAGTACAATCAATCTCCGAGGCCGCAATATAGCAACTCACCACGGCCTCCATATGGCAGCCAGTCGCCCAGACCGCATTCTCAGCCATTCACACATTCTGATCTCAGTTCTGAAATTAGCGCAGCGATTAGCTCAGAACAGCTGGGCTCGCCAGGATCTCCTATCGGTCCTCCTGACTTTGAGCCTCCCACAACAATGGCTGAAGATGCCGAATGTCGGTTAAGTCCTGCACCATCTACAAACAGCGAAAATCCTCATCATTACCACATGAGTCCTGCCGCATCAACCAATGGCGAGCCGCCACACCATTACCATTATCAGCCGTACAATATGGATCCACCACCACAAGAAACCCCTCAATATACTACTCCACAACAGAAACCACAAGATATTGCTTCAAAGAGCCTGTCAGGACTTGAATCTCTGGTGGATCAAATCCCAAGCATTACCGATGGGGAAGCGCCCATAAATGAAACTCCAGATCAGTATTCTAATAGTTATACTGTATCCTCAGCGAGGGCTAGTCCTGTTTCTTACAATTACCCTCCTACTTCCGGGTATCCGTTATACCCAACTCCCACATGGAGTGGGCATTATGAACCAATGCCTCTGAGTTATCCCCAGATACCATACCCGCAAAGCTACACACCAGGGATTCACGTACCAAATCCCAATTATCCTTATTACAGTTACCCCCAGCCTACTCCACCACATCCTCCCGGCTACCCACCCTACCTCGGAGGGTTTTGATCGGTTTCTGTCGCTGTGTTTTAATGTTGTGTACCTGTAAGATATGTTCGGCTAGTACCTAGCAAGTCTGTCCGCTTCAGTACATAGTATGGGAAATTTAAGTGACTGTTCTTGGAGAATGATTATATGGAAAGAAAAATAAGTACTTGATGCTTTTGAGGTGTTTGTTTGCGTGCGCTGCTGTAATACTCTTAGTCTCTGCGTTCGAATAGGCACTTTCTTCGATTTGGCTGTCAATTACACATTTTGGGTCATATTGATCCATTTCGGTACCTACATTCAATCAGATGTATTTTTTAAAAGTGTTATAAGGCTGAATTTTGATTCGTTTCAATATTACGTCTACTCGAGGTTGTTCACTTCGCTTTTGTGAAGATTTGATTAAGTGGACACTACTACCACCCACTTTGTGCTCTATTTCTGGGCTATTATTTTTATACGAAAGTAATATGTTTTCCTTCATAAAAAAATTGGAAAATTTTCGAATTTTGATGATTCAAAGTAGAGTTTGATCGTTCGTTTGTTTTACCACGTAGCGCATTATATATCACACTAAACAGTGTAAGATCTGAATCTTGCGCTGTTACGGAAACTTACGTAACAACTAGTGGATTGAACTAAAAAAAAAATGTGCGTCTAAATGTATTAAGTAGTTTTTACCTGAGACTGAACAGTTGCAAACTGATGAGAGAAACACATAGAACTCGTCATCGGGATTATCTGGAGCCAATTTTTCTGCATTTTCCAACAACCGGGTATTGTTTTAAGCTAATAATCATTTTCCAAGCGGAGGACTTTGTAAATGATCTACATTTAATGTGAAGTTTCCCATATTAAACGATGGTCACTTGCATTTTGAAACCAGAGACTTGCACAGGGTAAATGGTGATATTTTTTTGTCATAAGTATTTTCTCTAAACTTTGAATGTTAGTTAGGCCGAGGGTTTGTGCATTAATATCTACATTCGGATCTCAAGTCGGTCGTGTGTCTGTCATCTGAATGGTAGCCCTGGACTTAATAGGAGATACGTAATTTTTCTGTTTTTTTTATGGATTTCTGAGTTTTAGTTTCTTCGTTTTGGCTTTTGATCGTATGTGTGGTAGCAAAATCTCAGAAATCGATTGAATCTCTGTATTGTAGTTTACTTAATCGGTTAGGTAGGTAATTAATTAGTTTATCTACAGCAAAACTGCCATCGGCGAGTAAAGCAATCTAGAGTATAATATGTCCGTCAATATTTTTTGGAAATTAAAGCTATGAGAAAACGTGAAAGATTAGCTTTTGATGGACATGTATCTATTTTCTCGAAGATGTTACAGTAAAGTAATTTCCTATGTGGAATGAAATGTATCCAGAATTATATATCATTTTCAAATGTCTAGTCGCTTGGATCTAGTCTTTAGCCTTAAAGACGGGAGAAGTTATTTATTAGTTTATATGTATATTTTTGAGAATATTTTTTTTATTTAGATGTCTTTCATTATGATTAGCAATATTTCGCAAAGCAGCTGTGGTATAATTGATGTACATTAAATCGGTTTTTCGGAATATATTAGAGCTAGGTACGCGAATGTTAATAGCATTTATTTTGTTTAAAATTTAAGTAGAAGACTTCGTGAGCTTTACTCGCAAGTAGCTTTAAAGGGACTGAGATATTAACGTTAATGGTCCCCACATCGAAAAACTTTAGTCTTCACTAACCACCAATTTTTGGTCTTCTGAACGTGCCAACAACGTGTATACTAATTAAAACAAGAAATCATCGTAGAGTTTTTCAATTTTTTGGGATGTAGTTTAATTTTTTCTCGGGATTGCAAAGCTTTTCAGAACTAAAGCTAAACGCAAGCATTTCATTTTCGTTCTTATTTTATTAACATAACAACACTATAGCATTTTTTTCATTGCAATATTAAGTAGGTACTGGTTTTGTTATGCGGAGTATTTAAGAAAGTTTGTCGCTCTATATTAATCTTTGATGGGGTCAAGTTTTTCAAATTGCCAAGTCCAGGGCTGTGTGATACCCTATCATTATAGCCGTAGGTCTGATTCATGTCATGATCGAAATAAACATTTGACATAGCTCTGTTCATCTGTTGTCCTTTCCTAGCCTCCCACCTCTACGTGTGTCCTTACATATCTCTGTATTATGGCGTTTTTGCGTGTCTCAGATTGAGATACAAGAGAGACGGAAATAGTGGACTGACCAAACATGTACAAAGTGTTCAAGTAGTAAGAATTTAAAATTAACAGTTTCTTTGTAGTGTGTAAAATGTTATAGTAGTGTCTAACGGATAAACATACTTACTAGATCTTAAATTTTGGTGAAAATATATTTATGCGGTATGATCGTTAGATAATAATACGCTTCTTGCTTTTAATTTTCAAGTAATAATATAGATGTAATTTAGAACATCTTCATTACCTTACTTGCAGGACACTTAATTGTCTTCAGTTATTTTGTTCTCTTGGCCCAATTTTTTCGTCAGTAACCACTATTCAAACTCGTTCAAATGATGCAAAGGGAGAGTTTTTTCAATTTATTAGCCCAATTTCGTGAATAATATAAATGGAGATTTTTTGTGTCTATCTCGCGATTAAGTGTCGACAGAATTTGTGAATGCTTTCAATGTTCGACGGTTATATGTATATTAAACATTTTTTCCAAAAAAAAGTCATAGGTGTTTCATAAGTGTAAAAATTGTAAAAATAAAACGTAAGAATACTTGTAGTCTTCTTTTGGGGAAAAAATAGAAAAATTTTGATACAGGGTTGTAGAGTTCAAAATGTAGCTTATTAATGGTGTGTATATGTAATGTAAAAATATGCACCGAATAGGTCTTATTCTGCGGTAATCCATCTTATTTCCTGAACACTCTGTATTTAACTACTATTAGCTAGATGTGAATACTTACGAAAACGTGAACCAAGTTTTTAACGAAATTTTAGATTTTAGACTAGATAGCGTGAACTAAACTTTTGGGTTTTTCGGGGTGACTGTAATTAAATTTGCAGATTGTCTAGTACAGTATTCAAATTGCCTATTACATTAATTAAAGCAAACTAAGTGACCTACAAATTATGGCAAACGAGTGTACGTAAATAAAATTAAGATTTATACAATTTTTTTCTAATATTTTAAGGTAAGATTTACTACACACTATTTCCCTCTCTTTTTGTTAAATTATTAAATACAAAGAGACGTTATTTGATTGTCAGAATAATTGTTAAAATAGAATTATGTGATCACTGAATTCTATCCCTACAAGAAAAAAACCAGTAATTGTATTTAAACTTTATTTGTCTGATGTTTGATAACTGATTGATCAAATTGTCATAAAAAATGAGGAAATTTATTCTGGCTATTGAAAACTTTCTCACAAGTTGCAAGTGGTTTTTTGGTTTTTGTAGTCATAGAACTGATATTTATTTAAAACTGTTTTTACTTGTTCATTGTGTTATCTAATGATTGTTATGTATGATGATACTCCGTTTAGCCGTTTTTGAAAACCTCTCCCACTATTCTTTTTGTACTTTAAACAGCATTAACAATTTAAGGACAAAAAAATAAATTTTGTTTAAATCCCATGGTTCGTTTATTTTCATTCATAGTTTACAACTCTAATAACTTCACTGTCTTAAGATGTAACTAGTGCAGTCCTCATTGCTTTTAGCGCAAAACTGCGGAGCCAAAGGAGACGTTCGTAATCCCCTTCTTGCTAGTCTATCATTATGACTGAAAAATCGAGATGTTGCGTTGATGGCAGGTGTTGATGGATTAGCCCAGAGTCTTTCAGCTGCTGCAGCTGCTCTGGGCCAAACTTTCGATTCAACGTTATTATCATCAGCTAGTTCGCCCCACATGCAAACCTATAAATCTCTAGCATAAAACTGCGGATAATTTATTACCTTCTAAAAGTTTACCTCTCCACCTAAAACTGACGAATCTGTTGAAATGGTGTTATCATATACAGTCCTCCAGTTATAATAGAGCGTAGTTCCCCAAAATCCATGATCCAAATACCAACTGTCTTTCGTTGATATTATGAGTTTATATCCCAATTTAAGCAACTGTTCTGGAAGTGGATCGGATTTCGGGACCCATGTTTGAATAACATATCTACAGTTGATGTAAAATTTCTACCCGATCGGGTCGTTTAAAACGCTTAAATATACCTGTTGCTTGGAAGGTATTTTACTATGCGATCTGGATCAGTTAGAGTACTGGTCCATAGGATGATTGAAGATGTGACATTTTTGTTTGCTACATCGTACGCATTTAAAGCTTTCCTCTGATATTCAGCCCATAGATCCATAAACACTTCCTCTGATCTATTCGGCCCAATATAACGAAGAACTTCTTCGCTGGAATTCCAGCATGGCACGAAAACCTATCGAATTTTCCGTTGATTTTTTCTGTTTTTAGTTATTTTACCCACTAACTTCGTCCCCGCCCATGTGAAAAACATCGGATTCAGTCCATAAGTCAATTATATCGGAATATAGGCTTGTTAACACGCTGTATAAATTAGGATTTGCTGGATTCATTTGGCCTGAAATTTAAATTAAAGACTTTTGTGCTCTAGTCTGAGGTTTTGTCTTAACCCACCACATGGTGGTTGGATGCAATAGGAGCGGTAGGGTTGTTGATTGTAGCACACTACCAAGTCTCCTAGTCCAGCATCAGGTCCCCATTGCCATCCACTTCCAGCATGAGCCGGCCCATCTATTTCCGGAATAATTCGAACGCCGTGCAATTTTGCAAAGTTTAAGAGTTCTTTTACTTGCTTGGGGGCGTAAGTCTGATTGATGCTGTACGCGCCATAACTTGAATTTAATTACCGTTGCACAGTTAATATATATGAAAAACTTCAAGTGAGTACCTTGACATATTCGGAAGTGTTTTGGAAATAAATGGGAAACTTTGCGTATCACTTATATGCCAATGTAGCACATTCATTTTCGACATGCCCATAGCGACAATGTTCTTTTTAATAACGTCCAAGGATAGGTAGTTTCGAGCCGAATCTAACAGCAACCTGTTGGTTATAAAAGCCATTCAATCGCAAACCTATAAAATATTTATCGTACCCTCGATGTTTGAAACGGGGTTTATCTTCAATAGAAAGCCCCTTTAATGTTACATAAAAAATGTCGTCTCCTGAATCCAACGAAGGTATTAGCTGAAGCAGTGTTTCAACCCCATGTCGCACACCATAAACAGAATCTGCGACAATATTAACTTCCACAGTTTGTAAGGAATCTGAAATAATGAGATTTAATCGCGCAAATGTATTTTCCATTCTCCTCAATTTATACTATTTGTGCTTATTGTCAACTGGTAAGCTTCATTAGTTTCCCAATTGAGGAGCAAGGAAGGACTCGCGGCAATCAAATTGATCACTAAAATATATCCATAACATCCATTATGTTCATTCAAATTTACAACGTCTTTGAAGTATCCGACAATTTCTTCTAGAAAAGCCGACGATTTCTCTGAAGGCGCTGACCAGGAGAGTACTGAGCATCTAAAATTACTCTATATATCATCAATTTATATTAATTAATAATGATTTAGTTATTTCTCCAAAGCAGGTGAAATTTACACCTAACTTACTGCACTGCTATGTAAACCAGATCGTGATTGGTCACAGACAAATTCGAAGGTTGCGGCCAAATATTTCCTTTGGGATCGCATGCCAATCGACAAATATCAACATTTTCATAAAAACTATCGCTGCTCGTCAATCGTCGCTTTCTATAGCAGGAATTGGATTTTGTATCGCATTCCCATACCCATCTGAAATATACAGAAATAAGCAAAATGTTTGTATCATGAAATTCTTTTTTAGAACTCACCCATATGAAAGCGGTAACATGAAAATTAGTTGTAAAATACCCCATCGGACTAAAACACAAAGTAAGCACACATTTTAAACCATTCCAAAAACTAAGCTGTTTAAATAGAAAAGCAGTAGTTCACATGCAGTCATTGCCTAATAAAGAATTGTATAATTCAAAAACATTCCTACAATAATACACCCACCAACTTTATTCGGCTTTTGTTCAACGATTAATTTGGTATGTCTTGGGTAACGTATGGCCTTCACCTGTTATTTCCTTGCACATGCAAAATCGCAAAATAATTATTTATCTCAAGATTTAATTAAAAAATAATAATCTCTGTACTGTATCGATTAATGATGCAAGTGCAAGATAAGGACCCAACAATTGAAGTACTTGTGAAAGTTTTGCTTTGATTTTAAATGCTTAAAGTCGAAAATCATCCAATAGTCATTTAAAACATTAATGAACTTGTGCATTTTAATAAAACCGTACAAAAAACAGCGATATAAGCACTATCACACAATACACTACCTTTCATCTTGCTTATAAACACTAAATTAAATTTAACTCAGGCGACCGCTTTGCGAATGCACGCCTACAAATTTACTTCAGCCGAATTAATTAGAATTAATGTCATCAAATTAGTAAAGCTGTGCTTAATCAGTAACTGATAACGCTGAATTGAAATGTATCAACTACTGAAATGTTACTAAAGTGAAGTTTTATTTATACAGGACCGTGTTGGTCATTTCGTTCGCTTTTTATTGTAAGTTTAACAAACTTATAATGCATCAGCAGGTAAAATATTTTTTGAAAATCGCTGCTATACTCAAAGCGTCTTATAAAAAGTATTTGTTTTCTTTAGACAACAAAGCACAGGCGGACTGGAATGAAACGGTTTTTTGCCAGATATTAACATCTTTATACAATCCGACAATAAACTAATTTGATATGCTACTCCATCGACCCATAAAACAACACAGTAGGCAGCGATAATAACTGCATGTTAAAATATACTATAAATGATGTCATGCGATAACTGCATGTTTAGGTAAATAGGTGAGGAATCAAGTAAAACACGTTTCTTCAGAAAGTAGTCATTTTATTTTGTATACTTCTTCCCCTTAAAATCACACTAATGTAGCCAAATCGCTTATAATACAACTAATCACAGCAAAACGGAATATAGATATAGGCTGGTAAAAAATAATATAAATGAATAAGGCACTAATGTTTATAATGTAGCAAAAAAAATAACTAATAATCGGAGAAAGCTGGGATATTGAATATGTCTATTTAACGAGCCTTTGGATAATTAATATTACACTAAGTGGAAAAGTATACAAATGCGAAGTTCACAATCAAATGGACGATAAACAAGATAAAAAGCCAGCATATGATAATATAGATAACTGTCTAGCACGATAACAGATAAAAAAACCATGAAGACTAAATCTTATCAATACGTTATGGGATTTTGTCTTATTTTGCTCATATCAAAAATACGTAACACTAACTTCATATTATATAGATACGTGACAACAATACAAGTTGAATTTTATATAAACCTTTACAATTACTACAAATCAGTCAGTTCCTGCCATTGTACAAATAATTAAGCAATAATACAAGACTTATGAGCATTTTCACAAATAGCACTGTAAATTGAGGTGATCTTCGCCAACTGTAGTGCTATTTGGATTTTAAACAGCCTATGTTCTACAAATCTTTCATATTCCTATTTTTTCAACAACGTAATTTGTATTATCAAGCCAATACTAAAGTATGTGCTAAAATCAATTTATTTATATCAGTTACAACTAAACACTGATGTTTTTTTAAAAATAAATGCATTCAGTTTTTAAAATCTGCATAACGGCGCATTTGAAAACGCAATTACTTACCCAATACTTAATATGTTTAAATTTATAGTTCAACAAGTGTTTCCAGGGGAAGAGTACATTATTCTAAACAAATTTTCTTAATGAGATTATAATGTGTAAGATGTTTTAAAAAACCAATGTTAAAATATATATTGCACTCAAGCTAGATTCATGACTGGTTAATTTTAACGATACTTTTCAGTTAAACCATGCAGAACTGGAATCGTCAAAAAAGACTAAGCAATATATGTGAAACAAAGAAGGGTTAATACAAAAAACAGCAAATCAAACGTACCACAATACAAACTAGAAATTTGTTTATATCAACAGTCAAAAATCTGAACCTGGGCGTACAAATTAATTTGCGTCAAAATATCTGCTTCACAGGAATGTTTTGTATGAACATTTGATTAGTTTATTAAGTATAAATTAGTGAATTAAAATACAGGTAAAGTAATAAATAATAACAAACTATGAAAGGCAAAAATTAGTGTACAAGCAATTAAAATTAATCATCGAATGGTCTTTATTATATGTTTACTTTCTTTTAGTAGTTTTGCGGCTAAGTTGTTCTTCAGCTGCCAGTTTACCTTTGTAGTCATCCACGTGTTGTTTTGCTCTTGAGAGAGTCCCAATCGCATTAGTAAGAAGTTCATCCCATTTCCTGCAGTACGCTGAAATAACAAAACTCTATTATAGCTACTAAAGCGACAATACCAACAATTAGCCAAACTAGTAAATAACTTATAGTAGAAAGTACCTTCTTGATCATAATCAACTTCTTCCGTTGTTTGTAAAAGTTCAACAGATCTGTGATAAGCAATTTGTATAGCTTCAATTGTCGCCTTGTGGTTTTCTAACATGTTGTCTTCCGCTGCTTGAAGTTCAGAAATAACTTGATGAAAATTCAACATTTCCGGAGTCATGTCGGTTTCCTGTTAAAAACAAGAACTCTCGCTGTCTCTGATTTCCACAGCAAGCAGCAAAACTATACTTACGTTAAAGGACCTAAGCTGTGAAATATCACCTCCGTCATCTTCTTGCTCAGGCTCTGAACCTGCATTAGTGTGCAGATCTCCTCCACCAAGCTCTTTGACTCGGTCCGCGTATCTTAAAGTGTTTAAACTGTGCTCGCATGAACTCACACCGGGTGATATCATGGCTATCATGCACGTTCGAGAATTAGATCCCACAAATGAGTCCTTTAATACTTGCGTTAATTTACTAACGCGAAAAGGTAGATGTGGACCTTTACGACCTAAAGCTCTAATACACTCTTTTAAAGCTAAAAGAGATTTGTTTATTTCAGCACCTTCCATTCCTAAAAATTGTTCAACGCCATGGGTTAAAAAAACACGTTATTTCCCAATCATACTAACGTGTTTGCCGATTTGCTGAAGAAGTATCAGCTCCTCTTTCATTACCAGCCAGATCGATGAGGGAGAATTTTCCATAAATTTTTGACATATTGTTATTTGATCGCAAATAAATTTGAAACACTGCATGAGATCTTGAAGAATTTGCATTAGCAAATGTCTGTCCCGACGTGCGAGCTTGATTTCCCTTTTGAATAAGTTTCAACACCTCATCAGTTGCCGAGACAACTTTCTCCGTAAGGCCCACTACTTGAACTTGCTGCTTCCCATCTTCCAATATCCTCAGCTTGGCTTTGTTGTTTAAAAGATCAAACACTTTTCCGGAATATATTTCGAAAAAACTAGATGAAACCACCAAATTCATTTGCCTATATTTTGGGGAACTGGCCAATCGAAAAACGTCCGCCGAGACCATGGCATAGATTCCCTTTTGACAATCTTGCTCTTTTCCTTTAAAATCTCCTCCCATGGTATGAGTTTTACCTGAACCTGTTTGACCATATGCAAAGCACGTGGCAAAACCACCCTCGAATAGTGTTTTGATTAGAGGTTGAGCCGTATACCTGGAAGATGCAAATCCGTGAGATATTTTCAAAGATGCTAATATTCGCTCTCACCTGTATACTAACTCATTTGAACAGGATTCGTCAAAAGCATAGTCAAAGCGGAAAAGTTGATTTTCCAAGTATCTAGTTAAGTCTACTTTATTTTTTGGCTCGTGGACAATTAATTGGTTTTTGCTAGGTATTGTAATAACGTCTACTTCTTTTCGCGCGACTTCTTTTTTATTTAGAGGCCGCTTTCGAACGCAAACGGTAATAAGATGATCTTCAATTGCATCATTTTCAGAAAGTGGTTTAATTTCAAGACCCCTTCGACATTCCCTAAAATTATTAAGGTTCGTAGAAAGCAGCAGGATATTTTTTAGAACTATTACAATATCATGTTCAGTAATTCCCAATGCGGGTTTCCTGGATCCATCTTCAAAAATGCCTCTTTTGCCTCCTTTTCTTCAGCCTGTCGCTGTCGACGTTCTTCCCGATTTTTTTTTAGCTTTTCTACCTCTTTTACTACATTACTTCGTCGTGAATTCTACAACCACAGTAACCGTTAGGTCTATATCGAAAGGATTTAGATCGTTATTACCGTTACATGTATGTTTGTTATTCTAGAGGAAGGAATACTAGGCACATTTGATAAAGTATTTGAAACAATAGTGTCAGGTAATACATTCGAATGCCCATTACTACTTGGTGGTGGTATGAGTGACACCTGAGTATTTGTTGGTTTGGGTATTCCTGCAAAAAATATATGTTTAAAGTGAGCTAAAATTCAGTGTCGAAGACGTACCATTATTAGGTTTTCCGCTTATTTGTCTATGAGTTGGGTTCTGGAAAAAATAATTAAGTAACTACCGAACCATGTTTAATTGAGCTTTGCGTATTTAAAAACATAAATCTATCGGAGATTAAAATAACAAATTGCCACTACTATGCATTAATGACCTGGATAGAAGTACCTGAAGGGAAGTAGTTTGCATTGAAAATTGATTACTGTTAAATTCGTCGTCGCTACAGCGACCAGACTGCGCCAAAGATGCACTTAGGTCTTCCTCTGAAAATCCAGATGAATCCTTTCGCAGCACAAATTGAAAAAGCGTATTAACTAAAGGTACACCCATGAATATTTTCTAAGTGTGCAATTTGCGTAATCCGAGGTGATACTATTTAAGCAGCCACTATTAGTGTTTTGCTAGCCTTAAGTTGATGAAATTCAAGCTAGAGTTGATATTCACTGATAATATTTGACATTTGCTGATATGTAAATAGAAAACCAAATTATACTGCTTTGATCTTAAGATTTGCAAAATACCAATAGTACTTACCAACTTTTTACAATGCATCCCAAATTGATTTAAACTTCACCAACTTAACACTGAAACCAATACCCACTACTTTGAAAGTTACATACCAATTTGAGATACACTGCAAATGATTGGCGCATTCAAACATATTTACAGGTATTTTTGTCTTGATGTCCATTCTACTTCTCACGGATGAAGCTCTTGATATAGGCATGATAAAGCTATGCAATGACCGTATGTATTATTACAAAAACGATAGAATTAAATGAATGTTTGAAATATAGCTAATTTTTCACGTTCATAAAGCAGCACTTCATACCAGTGATTGAAAGATAAGATATTCCACTTGAGAAAAAACCTTTCTTGCTACACAGAGTATTAAAAAAACCAGCTTACTGTATACATTTTGCAGCCTTAAAAGTGTTTCTACCATTCAAAAGCTACAAAGGATTGTATGTTGAGACAGTAGTTTAGAAACATTTACTTGCCACAAATTCACAAATCTAAATTAGTTATTTATCAATAGGTGTACTTTGTTAGTGGAATAATGCGCATCACGTCATATCCTGTCTATAGATTGAAAATCCATTATTCTAAATGAAAATGCGTTTTAGGATGGTAAAATCATTAAATACCTTAGTAAAGAGGAAGCGCTTTATTTGTTTGCGAACTTAAAACCTTAACAAATTGTCTATAAATGTTGCAATTATTTACAACTGACAATGAACATCGCGAATCATTGAACCGGTAAAAAGGTACTTACCCTTTGCAATTTGTTGAATTTTGGGTCCTCGCCAGGCTTCAAAATAATTACTTCTGGATTGAGAGATTCTATAGCGGTCATATCTACTTCCTTTCCTTTTGTTTCACCTTGTTCAAACCACTCCACCGTTGCACATCGGTTTTCATTGTTGATGGCAGCAACGATGGCTGAATGAATGCGACCTGCAAACACATTCGGCCCTTTGCAACATTTCCGTTGTTCAGTTGCTACTAAATACGATTCGCAACTTTTGCCAAATCCAATTAAAGCCCCAAATAGCGGATAATATATTTTCCACAAAATAGAATGATTAATTAGAATCGCTGACAGAAATGATTACCGCTTATTTCGAAGAATTCCCTTCGGCAGTCAATCAATCAATGCCCATGGTGGGCTCTCATTGATTAGAAAAATGCGAACACTTTACAATGCATAGGAGCTTTGCCTATGGTTGAACGTGTTAAAAAATACATGAAACCTATGCTGACTAAAGTGAAATCAATAACTAATAACATATTATTTATTCCCGAAGGATTCAAATGTGGGTATTGGAATTTCTTCAAAGAACTCTGCGATTACGGGTAATTTTATGTTGGTTTTCTTGAAGTAACACCCCAAACTGCAGATAATTTCTGATTGAAATAAAAAAATATTTTCAGAATCTTCCAATCGAATCAGAATCGTAACAAGAGTCTAATAAGGGTTGAAAATCTACAAAATACCCGCGTTGCATTTTAGCTTGCTGTTTATACAGATTTATACGAACATGTCCGTTCTTGTCGGGGATTTTCTTATTCCTGAAGATTTCCTAGATATAAATAAAGCGATATAAAATTATCATTAAAGATAAATTCAAACAAGAGTAGTCGTTAACAACGGATAAGATCGGTGTTTTTATTCTACATGCTCGATTTGAAATAAATGAGCAAAGTAGCTTGACATTTTCAAAAATTTCAATGAAATTTAATTTTAAACCACAAAAAATTTAGTAGTTTCATGATTTTTGTCCGGATTTAACCTGTGATAATGCACTGAGTTATAAAACAAATTTTTCTGAAAAACAATGAATCCTAGCAGAATGCAAGAAGACCAAGAAGAGATTCATGAAATAGAGAATGCCCAAAAGAAAAATGTTAGGACGATATTTACGTAGAAAGGCTGCGGGCCAAATCTGCAATTGTTTGCACAAAAAAACGTATTCCATTTATAATTGAAAACTTGACTCGTTGGAAATAATCCTTACTTAAAACTTACTGAACAGCGTAAGACGTGGGCGTACGAATCTTTATCAGAAAATGGAAAAAAGACCGGAGTAACAAGCGGTCTCCACTGGGCCTTTCGCCTTTGTGAATGATGGGGAAATCATAAAAAGTGAAAAGAATCATATTTGTTTAAAATTAGCCAAGGAATTCATATACATAGTGAACATTATCTTGTATAGCTCCAGCAGACACCCTGTATATATAGATATTCCATCTATTGTGGCCGACTGAATGCTCACAAAACTTCCCTGTTTTGTACACAAAAATACCAATAAGAGTATAAAAAAATCAGGTATAAATCAAATTTACTCAGAAAAAAACTAAAAGATTACAAATTAAATGGCAATTACCGACGAATAAATCGACTTTCAAGAATATGCCCAACGGCCTGAAAAGTCCTATAAAACAGAAATATATTGATGATATACTAACAATTGAAAGAAATGCTCACATCTCGCATGAAACGCACTGTCAATGCAGGAATGGTAATGTCTTGCATGCAAGTCTATTTCAAAAATAGATTTGGTATTTGAGACTTAATTTTTTTATATTCTCAATTTAAGAGAAAGTTGGCACAGCCCCAATAGGACAGTAACAAAGTAAATTGAATGAATTCCATACGAAGCACCCAGATTTGAAAAAAAATTGAAAAATCCGGTATTGTACTTGATTGTACATACAAGGTGCAAAAAGGTAGCAATGCCAGATTAATACAAATAATATCCCGTGTTTTTAAGGTTAACAATGATTGATTTGTGTTGGCTGAAGCTTAAAAACGCAAATTTTAGTGTTAAAATCGTATGTATGTTGTAAAGGATTTAAGATCTTTGACCAACAGTTAATCATGCAAAGACATTTGTATGTGTTGACAACTGCATGTTCTTTAGCTATAAAAGGTTATTTACGATTGACATCAACACTGATTCTCAGGCAATCTGTTTTCTTTAAAAGCCAAAAGTAATTAATAAGATTGCTTGAAGCTATTTGAAGATAAACATTTTTTTCAAACGAGCATCAAAAAATTGTAGGTTGCAACTCACCATCGGTTCTTTTTATATTTATGCTTAGTCCGACTTGAAGATATCCAGCTGCCATTTCCATAGCTAATTACCGCTGATGGTGTAATGTTCAGGTTTTTTCCACTGATATATTAAAACAATACATATAAACTATAAAATTTGAGATTTCTGGTTTCTTAGCACGGCTATTCAACTGACACATTCATTAAACGGAACGTACGGTACGCCAAATGTAGACAAGAAACAGATGACAAGCACGCAAAATCAGAACTATCGAGCAAGCGCTAAATTTAAATTTGAAATTCGTTTCAAACCTCGTTAACAGTGTTAACACATCCTCATTTGCTACAATGTTTTCAACGAGCAAACAGATAATGAAATCAATTAATCATGATTTTTTCCGAATTGCGAAAGCAATAACTCATTCAACAAATTACTAGAGTTTGTTTAAACATGCATCACAAGCATTATTAAGTGGTAGTTTTATCAAAAACTACTTATTCCAGTTTTAGACTGCGTGTATTTAAAACTCATCCACGGGGACAATGTTCCTTATTAATTATCAATTAAGGAACATTTTCTATATTGTACGTTTCATATTTGTTTGGCTTAGTTTGGAAAATGCAATGTGAACCCCAGGCCCTTTGTGCAGGGTAAATCAATTTTTTAAACAAAATATTAAATGATAAAACTCTGAAAAATAAGCAGAAAGTTCGCATAATTAAATAACGGCAAAAGCATAGTTTCAGGGATACAGGGCGTTGAAATTAGAAGTATTACACGAGTGCAGTTTTTGAGATTTTATCACTAAAGCAAATGTCTTAAAACATACACTTAAAGGGGTTAAAACAAAGTTCAATAAAAATCAACTTAAAAATAAACCAAATGATCCGTTGAAATTTCTGGGTTTGCAAAGTGTTCCATCTTTGAAAAAGTTTAGAAGACTAACTCTTTTTTATGGCTCTTTAACTTCATATGCCAAAAGTGCTTTTATAACGAATTCAACTCATTTTATGGTTGCTTAAACAAGGGCCAAATACGTGCAAACGTATAAATTATAATACTGCCTGGAGTAATTTATTATAATACTGTTATTTAAAATAGAAAGCGAAGCTATTTTTTAAGCGGTTTATTAGAAGAAGCAAAAATTATAATGTGAAACCCCGCCCGGTTTTTAACTATTTCGAATATCAAGTTAATTTTTACAGGCATACAAGCCATTGGAATTGCTTGCCAACGTTTTGTTCATATTTACGGTGAATATTATCGATGGCGATGCGAACAGTCGAAGTTCTCTTCAGTGTCTCTCCAGTCATCGGAAGACAACCGGGAAAAAATTTCGTAGTCTGATTATTTAAAATTTTACTAAATTCCAGAGAATTATTAATTTGCTTAAAAAAAACTCAGTATATAAAATGTGTTCCACACTTTGCCCCATGAATTTGTACCTTCTTTGACGATAGCTCCAATTAAATGAAGCAATAATTTCGCTCATGGTGAAGGCGATGATATGATTACGAAATCGGCGAACCGCTTTTTTTTATACCGATCGATAAGACCTTGCCTGTTAAATTAACGACCTGAAGTCTGAATTACAAAAACCATGATTCATTTTACGGTGAAAGTGGGATTAATAACCTTAGAGCAGATTGTTGTAAAAAACGCTCATTATGTTGGGTTTATTTGCAAGCAGCTACCGCAGCTAATTGAGAAAGGCGTCTAAATAAAACTACATACTTGTAAATTAGTTTATATTATAAAACAAATGTACAAATAAATACACATTAAGTATGATAAGTTTTTTATTTACACAGTTGATAATACCGACACCATTCCTATGCCTTATAACATTGTCTCTCATTGACAAGGGTTAAATAATTAGAATAAATAGTTGCAAATTGGTAAGAATGAGTTTCTATAGGCACTTGGGTTTGAAAATTCAAACATACATTAATCAGGGCGTAACAGTAGAGTTTTAAACAAAATATTAACAACAAACGTTCAAACAACTAAACTAAAAATACGTGTAGCATACATTTTTTCAGCTTCATAAAATTAGAATTAAATATAGAACTGGATGGCAAGTCAGGTAATACTTTCAAAAGAATAATATAGTCAGTAGTACATGGCATAAAAACAGATTCACAGTACAGTTAGTTGCAAAGTACGGTTACAAAGTACTATAAATAATTCATGTAATTTACAGGAATATTTACAATACAAACAGATCATTTTTAAAGCATTGGGAAAACAATCCGGGTGAAATTAATTAAATTTTATAACGTCACAGCCAACGAAATAATAATGTAATACTCAAGCATTACTAGAGCCTGTTTCAGGAATTACAATCCCTTGACTAGCTGAGCCGTAGAGGGCAGGAGAAGATCTGTCTATAACACAATTTTCAATGCTACTGGAACTAAGCAATACAGGAGCAATATATTGCTCCCTCTGCGCGGCCAAATGGGATTTGGAGGTAGTAGCCGGCTTGCAACTAGGAAAGGGACTTAGGAAAAAGAAACAAACAATAGTTAAACAGATTCCGATAATCATAACATATGTTATAGCGTTCATTCCTCCACTGTCCCTTATGAAGAAGAAGGCAGTCAGAATAACTTGACACAAGAGTATAGCAACTCTTACCATTTTAACAGCACCTGCATGAATGTGCTGCCCTTCAGTGGACATAGCAATAGGTTTATAAACATAATAGATATTATATTTATCCACAAGATGTTTCAGAGACAAATAGAGTAAGCCAAAAGGTGTTATCAACGGACAAGACAAACTATATACGGTACTGATTGTAAATATTAACAATGTCCAAGCATAGTGTATACCAAATTGAAACTCAGACAAAATTTCCTTGCGAACGCTCGTTTTTTCGGCCTCAGATTTAATAAACGACAACCTCAAAGCATACATGGCTAGCTCGGGAAACCTTAATAACTCCAATGCAGTACCAATAAGAGCGGAGGTAATAATATAATTAACGAAGAAAGCACCTTTATCTGCTAGAAAAACACATCGCCAACGAAATTTGTCATTTTCCAGAGTCCACTGCACAAAGGCCGCGGCGCTAGTCAAACCTAATGAAGGTAATATTAACACCATGAAAAGAAGGAAATAAAATGCTTTGAACATTACAGAGAAGTTTTGCTTTGATTTTGTCCAATGGGACATCCATTCATCTGTATATGCTACTATCACTGGCATTACGGCCGAGACGGACAGTAGTAACAGAGTTGGAAAGAATTGTGAAACCACTGGGCTTAATTTATTGATAAAGTCTCCATGGGCTTGATTGATTTGATTGAAAGTGTTCAGAAATATAATCGGAGTAGTTAAAAAGAAGAGTACCAGGAATAACAGGATATTGATAATTATGGCTTTGGAATACCAGTTTCGATAGGATATTTCCAGATTTTCCCAATTAATATCTCCTGGTGTGGGTGCATGAGTTATATTCCAATGTCGAAGAGTACCCGGTTCAAACGAATGAATCACATATTCGGCCTGTTCTTGTGAGCCAACTGTTACAAAAGCAATTCCCAATGGGGCGGTCAGAGCATTTCTGCGTTCAGATAAAACCAAATCAGTCAAACGTTGCTCCTCTCTTGAGTAATATGCCAGAGCATCTATTGTATCGCATGGACAACAGCATATACAACCTTTTGGTTGCACTTGAATACAATCAGAACTTCTATGACTATTTTCCACGCAATACAGCTTTGCTTCATGGGCCTTATTCCTTTGCTTTTCTAACTCGATCAATTTTTTTATTCTAAAAGTAATTTGCACGTCCAGAATATCCACTTGTGGATATCGCACAGCAAAGTAGTTTTTGATATCTTCGATATTTCGGTGGGGTTTTGAGATATGTGTTACCATCAATGTTCTTGAAGACAACGCTGATGTACTGGGACTTTTTCCGGAGCATTTTTTCATTATAAAAACTGTCAGTGGAACCATGCATAAACTCGCCACTACATGAACCCATAGTAAGTTCGAAGATGGGCCCAGGTTGCTCAAAGTCGTGTGCCCAAAGGTTGTACTATTTCCTGAAATGTTGAATGAACATGTTGCAGATTGTTTTACACATATTAGTTTCAGTTCAATTTTAGATTTTGCCTATTCAAGTAGGGCTTCCCAGCTGTTTGAATTAAAAAATGTGCCTTGTAAAAGATAATCAGTGGATTAGGCAACAGTGTCCCGTTTTGATAATGTTTGTTAGCAAGAATAATACTAGGCTGTAAATGAAAGTCGTAAGCCGATAAATAATACTGATTAAATTATAAAGTTTAATCCCTATAAGTATTTAGTAGGATCTTAATTATTCTTTCATGGAGCAGCTGCACAAGAATGTCTCCTATTATCAACATAAATAGTAATGGTCCATTTCACTCAAGATCAATGTACAAATTATAAAATTAAATATGTTGTGTCTAGCGCAATAAAATGTGTCATCAGCTAAATCAATTGTTCATGTACAGGGTGGCAAATTGGCCTATTTTTAATGAAAACTCCCATGACGAAAACCATATCTCATGTCGTACCGTTGTACAGGTACAGGCACTTTTAGCACATATCCAATGCACTTTTTTACGTAGAATTCAATAACGTAAGCAGTGGTTTAATCTTTGGAGTACACAAACTTAGAAAATCGTCGAGGGCAAAAAATTATATTTTTTTAAATTGTATCGTATTTGACGAATTGTTTTAGGAATGAAAAAGTACCTATAATTAATGCTATGATAAAATTATTTCAAAAATGAGAAAAACTGAATGCATTTTCTCAATGAAGAAGAGACATTGAAAATCTGGAAGTGCACTTTTTGATAAACCGCCAGTTAATCTATGTTGCATTTGCGATATCCGATATTTTCGCAGTTCTCAAAAAAAAAGAAATTGCCTTTGCTGTCTGTCTTTTGCAGTAAAGACGCTATTCTTTCTTCCTTTCCATACAACACTGCACAAATGCGAGCGGGATTTCGAAAAGAGCAAAACTTCATAGAGGAAAAATTGTCTCTTGCAAAGGATTTTGCTGTTCATTTGCCCTGTATCTGTACAGGATGGCCGGTTTAAAAGAGGCTATACTCTCTATATGCTTAGTCGACAATTAAACTAGACACCGCATTGTTCAGTATTTACTTATTATTAATTTGTAAGCGATTGTGCATGTATAATCACAATTAAAAATCTTAATTAAAGCCTGTTATCATTCAACTCTAATAATAGGAATGACTATTATGGAAATATTTGAGTCTATTTATCTATGTTGTGTTGTTTTTTCTGAAGTTGACGAATGTTGTCAACAGAAACGATGTTATACAGTTCATAGTCGAAAAAAAAACCTAAAATCGATCTACATACCTTCAAGTGTTCCTTGGAAATTCACTGGGAGAATAACGCAAATTGAGAACACGGTGATTATGGCAAATAGAATGAGTATATGCTTTTGAAAGGAAAGATAATGCAGAGCATCGGGGCCGCATCTTGCATAAACTTTGCTTTTGGTGATTTTGAAGATAGATGGAAACCACAGACATCCTGTATCGGGAACCATAGAGATATCAGCACTGGTTTCTTCAACTGCCACTGCCTCATCAGTGTTTTTGTAAAAGAGTTGAGTCCATTTTTCTGTGTGCACTAAAGCCAAACGGCCATAGTCCCAAGCACGGTTTCGCAAAATGGCAAAGAGCAGTAGTAGGAATATCCAGCAAATAACATTCAAAATTAGAGTCTCCGGAATTCCATCGTACACGTTTGTTATAACTGTGGTATTTTTCTTTACAGTTAAACAGGTGTCATCGTCTGTAAAGGCCATTGTATTACACAGTTCACATCTGCACCAACAAATATGTTACTTATTAACTGTTTTTAATGATAATTAACCGATGACAACGCTTGCACTTTATCGAACACTAGTTAATCCACTTTTATTTGTTATCTTTCAGTCGCCTGCTGATGACTTTTCTGTATTAATTTCCAATTTTAGAGATTTAAGACAATTGATATCGTAAACATCTGACTTGCGGTGTGTATCAATTTGTAAACGTCAACAAAGAAGTCGGCGTTGTCAGCTTCAACGGCCTGCTTTGGAAAAACTTCGGCGTTTATTTAGTGAGTTTTACGTTTTAAATTATTTTTCCTCGGAAAACTACTGCGGCTTTTCTGATGTTGTTTTTCAATAAATTAATTATCTAGCTCGATTATTATCTCCCCTAATTGAAACAGTTGGCAACGTTTTACACTGAAAGGCTAAACGAACCATCGAGTTCTACGCCGACTTGATCAAGTGAAGTATCGACATTTGTAGTAATTCCAGTTCTCCAGTTGGACGTTGCCAGGTTTTTCAATACTTAGGAGCACGCCTTTCTGGAAAGGTGTTTTCAGTGGATAACGCCCAAGTTTACTCCATAATTTTCAGTTGATAATTTTTTAGGTTTGATTTTTTGCAAATCCTCAATGGGGGCAAAATTTTGCCACTTGGGGGCACACAATGTGGGCGAAATATTTTTTCCGAGGGTAAGGTGTTGAAATTATTTAATTTTAAAAAATTGGGAAAAAATCGATATAACATCCTAGAATGTCTTGGCGGGAAATTGGTCACCTATTTTCTTTGAGTGATGAAGTTGATTAAATAAATGCCTAATAAATCGTTGTTTTAGATGAAATTTAATTGTTCAGTGGGACTTGGCAGATTAAATTAAATTTTTTCAAAAATTTGAACGAATTTATTTGAGAGGAAACGAGAAAGACGCAAAAAGTATCTACTGTTTATCAGCGTGTCTACGTGAGGGACCCCAGGTAGTGGAATGGGGTGGTCTCGGAAGAAACCATTCATAATTACAGTAAAGTTGGCAACATGGAAGCGAGTCGGTGCGTGCGCAAGGATTATGCTCTAGTGATGGCGTGTTTTGCTGTGTGAAATTGGGAATATCTTTGTGACAAAATGACTATTTAAAAGTGCGGAAAATAACATATTAAATGGTTAATGTGCTTGGTGACATTTACTGGTTTAGTTAGCCCCCAAAACTCTGCTGGTATGGAGCTGAAGTTGCATTCCCCAGCGGGTGCTGAGCCTGTACTATACACTTGGCCGTTAACCTCGGGTCGAGGAAATGTAAGAATGATAACAAAAACATTTCTAAATATTCCCAATCAGTAAATTCCTTCCCGTAGTACTATCTTAGCACCATAATTCCCGTATTTTCTTTATTTTTATTACCACAACTCGAGTGGTTATGTGCCAAAATGTCCATAAATCAAAACGGTACTTTATTTTAGAAAATGAGTACACATTTAATTCTCTACAGAAGTCCTATTAGTTAATCCAGTGCTCTGGATAAACATTGTAGCTCCTCAAACAGGCCTTTGGCTAATGTTACTGTAATGTTTATATGCCCAAAGGGTTTGTGGAGTTCTTCATTGTGTGTGGTGACCAAAGGCATTAAAATTAATTATATCTTGTCTAAAATTAGATCTCTGGTGGACTTTTTAAAATAGATCTTAAATTGATTAGGTGCCATAACCTTATAATTTCGAATGCATTTATTTATGCACTGCTTGTTACTTGCTTTTCTCGAACTAGGTGACCAATATCACGTTAATACGATTTAATATAACATAATTTCACAACATTTATCTCAACCTGATACTCATCGTACTTCTTATCTGTATCTAAAATCCTTTATTCACTAAATGCAAGGCTCCCATACTTCAAATTTCAATAAACAAACCTTGTTGATAAATTATTTTATATCACATTCAATAGTTCAATCTGTTGAATTCTCCCATAGCTCTTTATTTAAATAGGGGAAGCTAGAGCACCCTTTTCACCTCTGTAGATACTAGAATGGGTCGTCTCGACTCTACCAAAGCAATACGACTTACATCGTTCATAAAAAACCTTGAGTGAGTCAATTCAATCGCCTGGTCTGTGTTGGATTATCCCATAACTTTTCACTTAAATATAGGAAGATTGGATTAGTATACCGCCTCGTGCTTTAATTTTCCCTGATCAGACTCAAAAAGCACACATAAAAAACTTCGAACTTGTCTGCTCCCAACTTCTTTTTCCGGGGCCACTTTTCAAAAAGGCACCACACAAAACACCCTGTATTAATTGAGATTTATTGGAAACACCGGGCAAAAATAAGGCGTCAGTAAATTGAAAATCCTAGAGGTCAATCTAAAATAGGCCATATCGCGCCAATTATCTATCTAGTACTTAAATATATTATGGTTGTTTTAACAAAAGAGAGGTCATTAGTTTCAAATTTGGAAGATTATTTCGCAACATATTTTAGACTTGACTTAGACCAAAACCTAATTTCTGTGTTATTGAGCTGTTGAATCCACCTAGGTACTTCACATTCCCCTATGACAAATTCCAATTGATAAGACCTAAAGTTATTGGGTCTCTGGTTTACTGACCTTATATGAGTTTGAATTATTTACGCATCAGTCAGTTACTGATTATGAGATGCAGATTTTGCCTCTCTGTTTTTGCCAGTTAAATCTAACCAATAACAATATCCAACTAAGAATTCTGAAATTGCACTCATAGTCGTCGTGTTAACGTTTTCATATGGACTTGGCAGTTGCTACATGTTGATTTTATAGTACTTTTTGCATTTCTTTTGTATACATTAAACTCAAATTCAGGGTAGGACCTGAAAGTTAGCCGCTCTATCCAGTTGTGTTACCTCATAAATCAGCGCCTCAATAGAGCTAATATACCCTTTGTCGTCGTAGTTAAAAGAAACAGATGGACCTTTTATGTGTGATACTCGGGAAACGTCTTAAGAATAGCGGTATCTTGTCGCGCTATCATTGGGTGGTATCTACCTAACATCTCTCTCACAATTTGCGTATTGTCCAATACAAAATACCTAGTTAGAATTGTATTTTCCTGTATGAAATTGTGGAATTATGATTTAGCAGGAAATGTTTAGTTTTGCAAATATTTGATTTATTGTTAACAGTGCTCGTAGAATCCGCGATTAGGAAAACAATGCCTTATTATTGTCTTCCACATTTTATTCTCAAAGCAGAACTACTGGCTGCTATAAAATGGAGCAATAATTTAACTTTGTCGCCTTCGTCCTTGTTAATACTATTCAGTTAAATAAATACACCCAATGATTATTCAAATGGTTAGTACAAAGTTATATGATGTGCGTTTCACCGTTTGCTAGTGTCAGTGTTTTTCAGTACTTGAGCTAATAACGCAAATACATATGTATGTGAATACCTATTTTTCCCTGCTATCTACAATATTTTACCAGTGCATGCGGATAGTCATATGCAACAGTTTTATTTATTTTGGAAACACGTTTTCCAACATCATTCGGAGCTGCGACCTTGTTCTAATTTTGATGATCACATACTAAATGGATATATTTATTTGAACTATTTCATTTATAGAACTAGAATTGTATTGTATATTTAATAAAGATCGCGTACATATAATATTGAAATTTGGAACGAAGTGTTTTAATTAGCGGATATTTTCGGGAATTATTGTAAACATGTTTTATGCGTTTATGTTCAACTGCATGGGAGAATTGGTAAAGCAATTAATTTTTTTAAACAATCATGTGTATTTCAAGCTATTCTATGTTCTAGCTGCCGCAGCACGTTGAAATCAAGCCAATCACTTTTATAAAAAAGAAGTTATTGACCTCCCAATCTCACATTCATAAGAAATGAATTACCTACGTATTTTAACCATTATGTTTGAAACGGTGTTGTTTTTCGTTGATGAGTCAACAGTCCATTTATTCTGCAGGTACCAAAATGTATTGAAGGAATGCATACATTTTAACTGTAATTTATAAATATTCCAATCCGTTCATTTTATTTGTCGGAAGGTTTGGGGCAAAGTTTTAATTACCTTTAATGGTTCGATTCAATACCTAATAATAACTGGACGTGTCTGTGGTCGCATCTATAATTCGCCAAAAGTTCATTTCCCTCATTACCGGTGTATCGTACATCAACACCAATTCCTCGGAGTTCATCAATATTTTAAATATACCAGCAACAGTTACTTAAATTGTATAATATGTTCTATGAGTATTGGGTTTATCGGCCAACAGATTGCAAAAAACACTATTTAGTCTAAGAGCTATGTTAGGTCCAGGAAAAATATTGTTTTTCTTCCGCAGTATATCTGCCAACCAGCGTAAGACATTAGATTAGCATCCCAGTCGCCATCGAACTGCAGCAGTTATTTAAATGTTTAATAGTTTTGCATTCAACAGCAATTTTATGAGTGGAAACCCCCACGGGTCTATGTAGAATCTCTATTACGAATAAAGGGTGAGAAAAATGTGGGGTGCAAATAACAGATTTAAACTCGTTCCCCATGTCGTGTAATTAGATTTTATTGATTCAATGGTCTCTCCCCCGCTCAATTAAATATTTTTTTTGCGGAAACGAACTTATGCAGTGGATTCTAATGTTCCTAAATGTTTCTTGAGATAACCCTAGCGGGGGTGATGTTTGCTCAGTAACTGTGGGATCATTTTTAATACAAGTATTTCCTTTCTGTTCTGGGACGAAATTAAATGTAGCTAGTTTTGTTTTCGTTCCTAAAAGGAGCAGGTGCCACATTATGAGGGTCAGCTATTTTGTGTGACATTCTTATTATCCCAACATTTAACAATTTTATTTGGATATGTTTTTTCAGGATAAACATGATGGGGCACTTGAAATTGTGGAGACCATTAGGTAAGTCACAAACCATTCATATTAGTACTATTTTAATAACATAGATTGGGGGTGATTGGTCGGTAAGTCTCCGAGATTGAAGGTAAATTAGTGAAACTTTCCAAGGACTTTAGTTTTACTTATGATCCCGCTTCAGTGGGTCATTTTTTTGCTTTGTCGGTTTTGTATAGACACCCCCATGCTGGCAACATGGCAGTCTCATCGCTTAAGTCCAGAGCGGAGGGCACAGAAGCTGAAAGCGGGCTTTATCGATTTTTCTCCAGTCTGACCTTAACCCCTCATCTCCCAGTGGTGACTGATATATTTGAGGGGGCGGAATTTTAGAATTGCTAACAATGCAGATTTCACTTATGTATTAACCCCTTTCCAATGGCTTTCTCTATATTTTCAAACATTAAAATTTTTAATTTATATGATCCTTCTTGAGTAGGTAAATGAAAACGGTTGTGTACTATTAAATATCCGCAGTTTTATTTCTTTAACAGCATTCGATAGTACTTGTGCAATATTAGCTCACTTGATCACAAAGCAACAACAATATTTATAAATCTTCATGTGAAAGTATCAGCAACTTATAATAATAATACACTCAGCTATAACATGATGGCAATTAATATCAAATTGAAACTGCTCACATAATTTGCTTGTATCAATCAAATAACACCTCAAACTGTTGTATGAGTGTAATCTTCCCGTTTTAATAGGACAATGGATGATTTAAGTGGCAGTGAAAAGGCATAATAAAACTTGTTATGTTCTTCCTGGCTGTCTTGCTGCTGTTGGCATACCAAAATATAACATCTGATTGCTACGTTTACAGTGGCGTAGCGAGGGGGCCTCATGCCCCGGACGCTACTCACAACGGGGCGCGAAATGGTCCGCAAAACAAAAAAATGCTGGATAATTTTAATTTTTATTATAATTGATTTTTGGAAAATATATTTTAAATGTAGTGCCAGTGTAATATGATAAATGCTAATTCGTGAATGAAAAGGAACATTAATAGTCTAAATCAAAATGTAAGCGAGTTTTATTGAAATACATGCTGAAGATAATCGATAATACAATTTTAGAGAAATTAAAGTCCGATGAAATTTCGTTCGCAAACTGTACATCACAATGTTACGATAATGCTGCCGTAATGGCAGGTCACACATCTGGCGTTCAACAAAGAATAATAGAAAAAACCTAAATCCCTATTTTTAAATTGTGATAACCATTGACTGAATTGATACAAGAATACGTGTAAGAAGACGCCGCAAAATGTCCGGAGAATTGGCTGGAGATGGTTGGTCTTTCCCTGAATAAAACTTTTTATCAAAATATGTGAGCGCAAAATGTTACTCCGCAGTAGAAAAGAAATTGAAGCTAGAACTCCGTTAGAATTTCTTACTTTCATAATCTTGAATGGAGATGTTTTTCCAAACCTGAGAGTGGCACTTCATATACTCCTGACTACCTCAGTATTGCAAACAATCAATTGCAAGCTGCAAACGTTCATTCAGCAAATTAAAATTAATGTTGACATGCCTACGATCAACGATGGGACAAGATCGCCTAAGTGACTTCGCATTTTTTAGTGTGGAAAGAGAAAAATTTGAAATGATCAACTTTGATAATATTATTGATAAATTTGCTTCATAAAAAGCAAAGAAAATTTTTTACATGTTTTATCAATGTATTATAATCATATTATTATTAAATGTATCTCCTTACAGATAATAAATATTTACTTTTTATTGTTTTAAAACTGCCTGTTTTTTTTTAATTTCTTTATAAATATGTAAATTAAACAATTGGCATCTTTTGACCTAATTCTAGATAATCATATACTTTTCAAAATCTAGTCTTGTTTGCTCAACTACATTTTTGTCTCAAATTTAAGCCTAGCTTGAGCCTATGACTTAATTAGTTATTTAATCCATACTTTGCTCGAACACCTCGTAGGTCCCAATCTTAGCTATTTATATACTTAAATAAATTGACGATGAGGTCAAATAGATAGTTCATTATTAGTCTTTGAATTCCACAAATGCAAATGTTTATTTAAATAACATTCAGCGATAGCTTTATGACCAGCCACATAATTCACATTGATGAGTGACAATATCTGGTAAAAAATGAAAGTGGTACCAGCATTGGTACCATGTGTACATATGTTGTAATTTCTTAAGGTAATATTATAGCAGATGTGCATGTCTTTCTTTGATGGCAAGCTAAAATTAAAGACGATGTGGGTTTCGCTAAAAACATTTTATTTTTTTGAATTCGTTTTTTATATACGGGGTAATTTGAAAGCAATCGCGCGTACTTGAATAAAAGTACCCGGTCAACACTATTGATCTTGAAACAGTAGAATTTTTTATATGCCCTCATAGAAAATTATTATAATAATAACTGATATTTTATTAGTTTATTGAAATCATGTTAGTTGAAGTAGAACTTCTCGTAGCATTTTGCTGGGTGTACATTAGCAAGTTTTGTGTATTTCATAAAAAGTATTATTTTTGGAATATCTCAAGCACCTTGTTGATACTTGAGGAAATATGGTCCGTCAATTATGTTACGTAACAATGTATACGTTTTCTCAATGGGAAATTTAATATAATGCGCCCAGAAGAATACAAGGATATTTTACAGATTGTAATGTAGATAGTTGTAAGTCTTGCAGGGATATAGAGAAGAGATGATATTGGTATAGAAATTGCTTCGGATTTTCTACTAGTGATGAATAATGTAACAACTATATCTGTATTTTCTTTAGTTAATGCTAATGGTTATTTACAAAGCGACCAACTGTTTTTATGTTATTTGATCTAATAGTTCCTTGATGAATTCTGTATAACCACCTTTTCCAGATGGGTGTGTGAAGATCTGCCGGAACTTAAGCTGCCATTGGAAAACAACATTCTCTGTGATTATGACACAAGAAGCTACGACAGTATGAAGTCTTTGTGTGATCGGTTTAATAGAGCTATTGACAGTGTGGTAGCTCTGGTAAGTATCTGGTTGCGCTTACTTTCAGTGTATTTTGTGACATATCTGGTTTTGGATATTTTTTTAAGATTCGCCAATGACATTCTTTGAATACAACTAGACATTCTGTAATTTACAGTGACCATTTCCAAGCTGTTTCCATATGCTGGAATTTGGAAACTGCTTCAGATTATTCTGGTTTTAATTCGAATATGTATGTTGGAAAGCATGTGGTGTCATATCAATTTTTCTGTTAGGAAAAGGGAACATCACTGCCAGCCCAGAGATTGAACAAATATCCATCTAGAGGTCTTCTGCGTCATATATTGCAACAAACTTACAATGCGGCTGTTACTGACCCGGAAAAATTAAATCAGTATGAGCCTTTTTCGCCCGAAGTATATGGAGAAACTTCGTATGATTTAGTGTGTCAAATGATTGATCAAATAGAAATAACTGCAGACGATGTGTTCATTGACTTGGGGTCTGGAGTAGGTCAGGTGGTTCTGCAGATGGCCGCTGCGACACCCTGTAAAATTTGCCTTGGCGTGGAAAGAGCAGAGGTAACAGATAAACTTGTTTGACTCTGCTTTTGAAATTCAAGCGTTCAATTCTTTTGAAGGTTCCAAGTCGCTATGCTGAGGCAATGAACAAGAATTTCAGAACTTGGATGCAATGGTATGGAAAGAAATATGGAGAATACAAACTAATACGAGGCGACTTTCTAACGGAAGAACACCGCGAAAAAATCAATCAGGCTACTATTGTCTTTGTGAATAATTTTGCCTTTGGACCATCCGTTGATCATCAACTAAAGGAGAGGTTTGCTGACTTAAAAGATGGAGCTCGCATAGTGTCCTCCAAGAGCTTTTGCCCTTTAAATTTTCGAATAACTGATAGAAACTTAAGCGATATCGGAACCATTATGCACGTCTCAGAAATGTCACCTTTGAGAGGTTCAGTTTCCTGGACCGGTAAACCTGTCTCATATTATCTCCATATTATAGACCGAACCAAGTTGGAGAGATATTTCCAGCGGCTGAAAAAACCACACTTAAAGGCAACTAGCGTAAGCAGGTTCTTCGATAAATTTACTAATGATTATTGTTTTTAGAATGGTGAAGATGAGAGCTCTAATTCCAACAGTCGTTATTCCCGTGATAAGGGAAAGCGGGACTTTGCTAAGCAGTTAGTAGATTCATCAACAGATTCCGATAGTAATGACAGTAATTACGGGCCTACGACCAGGAGAGCTTGGTCGGACTATTGTTCAAACAAAGGGAAAAGTAGCCAGTCTGAGGACGATGGAATTCCGAATGGAAAGGTACTTTGTAATAAGTTCCATTATTTACTTTATTACTCATTTCTGGTTTCCATTTCTTTAAAGAAGCGCCAGAACAAAAAGTTGCGTCGCAAACCATCTCGAATTAAACAAGGAGGTAATCAGCAGGGGCAGAAGGCTGTTGCTAAAGGGCGTCGTGGTAGAGTAAGGAAAGCCAAACCAAAGAAAGCCATCAAGATCACTGGATTAGACCTGCTACATACTGAAACTTTACTAAGTACTTCACCTCAAGCCATTGGCAAGAAACTCCCACCAGCTCCTGGATGCATCGATCAGCAGCTTACCACTCTAAGTTCTGACCTGATAGTTCACAATGAGTTGGATATTCCGGCAGAGCCTGCCGAAACTCCGTATGGCCTGCAAGTCTTATTGGATATGTGCCGAACCAATTTTATGCAAATGATTAATGAAATGAGAAGTCCAAGGTACAAAGTGTCTATAGAAAACCATATAGAGGAGGAAAAGGACAGAAACAAAAAACTGAAAAATAGGGCAGCTCAACTTGAAAAGCAAATTAAAGTTTTAATTGACGATAGCGTGGCATTGCTGAAAGCTCGAATGTGCGAGTTGGGAATTAATGCAACTTCACCGGTTGATCTACTAGCCAAAGCAAAAGAAATCGTATGTCGCCACAAAGAATTGCAGGCGAAAGCTAGTAAGCTTCAAGGGCAAGTAGCAAAACTTGAAACCGAGAAAGATCACCTCGCAATGCAACGGTCTACTGAAGTGTGTGAGTCATACCTCGAACGTGACTCCGGTAAAGAATTATCTCCAAGTTTGGCACAGGAATACATATTGAGAGAAATATCTTCAACGCTAACCCAAAGGAAAAAGTTGCAAAACGAAGTACAGCGGTTAGAAGGCGAATTAGTTTCGTTGCAGAAACAGGGCGAGGAAAGAAAGCAGGCGCAAGTGTTGCTTTCCACCAGACAGCAGCAGATTCCAGCTAAAGTTTCACGCAAATCGCGTGAATATAGAACACGGTCACAAGACTGGCCGGAAGTTCCAGATATCGCTAAAATTGAAGAGCAAAATCCTGAAATACTAGCGCAAAAGATTTTGGAAACTGGTCGCAAAATCGAAGCTAGTAAGCAGCTTTCGTCAATAACAACCAATAAAACATCTCCGTACCCAACTCACAAACCCACTGCAAGCAACCAGAAAACGATAGTTCGAAATAATATGCCAGCCCCGTTGCCTGTTAGTAAACGACAGAAAACAGTTCATAATTTCGCGCCCACAATAATAGCAACTAACCCGAACAATGCTTCGAATAATCAACTGCAAAAAGTACAAGAAGCTCCGCGTATTGCCAATTTCGAAGATCGACTGAAAAGCATAATCACATCAGTTTTGAATGAGGATCAACAGAACAGGACTAAACAGAGCCAGATGGCAACTCCTCATCTGCAATATAATGGAAATATCCCAACTGCTCACGCTCCCGTTACTTCGATCTCTCAACCGCAACCCCCAATCAGCCAAAATTTTGCGCCACATAACTATCCAATGGCACAACACATGCAATCCGCCAAACAAATCGGGTCGGATCAACCGGATTACACTCAAGTATCCCCGGCTAAACTGGCACTAAGACGACATCTTTCACAAGAAAAATTATCGGCTGCCCACCCTACTTTTAATCCGACTGAAGGCCTTGTAGGGAAGCTAACGTCTGCTCATGCAACTTTTAATACACCTGAAGGACTTGTGGCTACTAGAACGATTGGTGACTTGGTTTCTGGAGAAATTGAACGCACTCTAGAGATATCTAATCAGTCCATAATAAATGCTGCAGTGGATATGAGCGACATACAGAGTACGCCTACCTTAACAGCTAGATCAGTAGTGAACGCTAATATTCCTCCAAGACCAGAGAGAGTAAGTAACTTTTAAATTTATTGTATTTGGACCTAATTGATTATGCAAAGACTGGGACGGCTTAAGAACATTTTTTGATGCGAAGCTTTTTGGTGTAATTTCAGGTGAGCGTCAAAGTTCCAACAGTTCCACATGAATTAAACGCTGCAGCAACTCCTAAAGAGTCGCTTTCAGAACCAATGCGCCAAGTATATAGCCCAATCTCTAGACCATCTTCCACCGAAGGTGGCCTCGAAGGTTTGGCATACATGGCTTACATGCACTCACATGTAAAGGTCACTGCTACCCATCAGTATATAGCTGCTCAGCAACCTTCTCCCAGGCAACAGTTTTCTCCACGAGCATTAATTCCACAGGTACTAGTTGGTGCCTCAATTTAAATTAATTAGTACTAACTTTTTGTTCTGTTCCGAAGACTGCACCAGAAGAACTACACGCTAAAATGAAAAGGCAAAGATGCTGCAAGGAAGAAGGTAAGTTTAATGAAGCTTTTAATGTTTTATCTAAGGAAGATTTGAAAAGTGCGCGTAAGAAATAACGAGTAACACAAAGCGCCGTGAATGGTGTGCAACTTTATTACCTATGGAATATTACTGTCTCTAAAATGTTCAAACGCATTGTTATAGAAGTGGATATTGCTGAAGAAGATGGAGTGATAGAAGAGAAGTGGAAAGATACGATCAGCTCTGGATTTGACCGTTTGGTAGCGTTTGCATCTACCGAATTAGATAAGCGACGCCGTTCTACTGATGGAGCAGACAGTTGTAATACTTCACCTGATTCAGGCATAGGGCATGGTTTAGGAGACAGTCATATTGTACCTCCGTCCAAACAACCAATAAAGTTGCATCCGAAACCAACCCTATTCAAGATGCCAATCAGTAAAACATATTTAGAGTCTTCCCCAGTCTTAGACCAAGGTCCGGATGATGGTGGACCGCCTAGGACGCCGTCTCCGACATCTCCCAATCCGTATAATATCCATTTCAGTCCGGAGCCTGTTAAAAGCCCTACAAGACTTAACCCGGCTTTGATGAAATATCAGAGATATTCCGAAGATAAAAATAAGAAACCTGATGCTCATTTCAAGAAGAAGTTTTATTACAGAGAGCAGTGGAGAGATGACGAGTGGGCTAAATCCAACGATGAGAGGCTTGGCCCAAGTCACGAACCAGTAAAAGATAAATTTAGGCCAAAAGGAAAAATGTGGGATTGGAATCGAGAGTCCCACCAAATTGCTCCTCAAACTATGGCAAGTGAATGGAGCCGATCACATGATCCGTACTCTTGGAAAAATTGACAGCATCTGATGGATTATTACTATGGTCGGCTTTGTGCCGATTTCACACAGCAAACACATGGGTGGTATTATCCGTATCCCTATTACTTTTAAACTTGTATAAAGGAATGTTTTGTATGAATGTTTGTGTATGTGTCTATGTGTATGCGGTTTATCATAACTTGAAAGAAACCAACCAGGAATTAATTCGGCAATTAATTTCGCTATATCTGCATTTGTTTCGTGTTTTTGATTTTGCTAAACAACAACAAGAAACAAACTGTTCATTGTTTTTGTAAAAAGTGTTTCTGGTCTGGTTTCTAATGTCAACAATTGTTTCATTGTTTGAAATTATCGAGAATTTGGCCCTATTGCCGAATTGAATTAAATGTAGATATTTATTTATTCACGAATGATTTTCTTGACCTATTTTGGTACAAGTTTAAAAGTAACCAGCTTCTCTGGTAAATTAGGGTGTTTATAGGAAATAATTGTATAATGTATTTCTGTAGTTATTCTAATGTCAATCTTCGAAAACTAATCGACTGCAATTTTTGTGTTCATAATTTAATTCGGATGTTATCGTCATTCATTGTATAACTGGTTTAATTCGATTTAAACCTAGGTAAAATTATCGATTTAAAATATTTAGTACAAATTTTATTTTAATTTCGTGGTACAATTACTTGATAGATCAGATGAATAAAGAAAGACTAATTTTGCTTATTTATTTATAGTTCTATTGTATATTAAATTCTAAAACGTTTACCTATACGGACTTCTGAACTCAAATAAATTGTTAATTGGTGTTACATAGTGCGTGGCTATTGGTTTCAAATAAAAGAAATTAATCTGAAAGTTTTAGAATTTAATTTTATGCAAATAGGCTCTTTCAAGTTTGTTAGAGGCTCCCTTGCATAACAGATTTTATTTTGAACAAAAACTGCTAAATTAAAACCTTTAGTTGAGGAAAATGTAAAAATAATGAAAAAGATTCAGTTGTAAAACATTTGCTGGATAATTATTTTTCTTCAACTACCACGTTGGTTTTATTGTTTGATAAGGTTAACCAAAAATATTGGCGTATATGTCAACAAATTGCGAAGACTGCTTTTAAGTGTGCCAAGCCCATAGCCCTCAATCACAAATATTAAAGTTATTGAATGCCATGTGAATATATATATTTAAGTCATCGTACGTCGTTATACATATCTCTTTTCTCGCGTGTCAACTGTAGCAGTTTTAAACTCGAATTATACATTGTATAAATTGTTTTTCTATTGTTTTTATTTGCGGCCGTACCAGTTGAGGGTTAAGAGGCTTGTCTATATTTAAAACTGTTATTAATTGTAAGCAAGACACTGCCTATTAATCATCTTGTTCGTTTCTAAATTGTTTTACGATTTTTTTTATACTAATGTACACAAAACTGGCATTGATATATCTCATACTGTGTACATATGTTTAAATAATTCGAAATTTAGTGCAACTTTAAATGTAAATATGGTAGTAAATTATTTAAGTTAGGTGAATTACTTATTCTATTCCAGTTTGACATTGAGCTTTAGCTCCTTTCAATGACAGCATAAGCAGGTATATATCTTACCTACGGCAGTTAACCAGAATAGGTTTTTTTATATATACATATTCTTTAGCTATGGTTCAAACTCAATTTATTCACAAATTGCAACTAAAGCCAGAAGTCAAAGTGGTGAATTTCAGTTGTTACTGTGGGGGAATATTTGATTTATTTTGAAAATATTGAATTTTTTATTCAAAAGGTATTTTAAATTAATTTCTAAACGGAATGAACATTTAATTGATGACTTATTGTTTCTTAATAATAATCCTTTGAAGCTCTCTAATCAATTCATTGCTCAAAATTATATTTTGAATATTTCCAAAATGATGTGAAAATATTTTCCTTACATACGAATTGTAAAAATCTTCAACTTCATGACTTTCGATGTAGATGACGTAATTTTTTCGAAAATCAATTGTACATTTTTGCAAACTCGCTGGTCACAATCTATACGTAACGATCTTTTACATTGTGCATTTAAGCTGGAAACTTACGTACTTTAAAAAGATGAAATTTATTGTTTTATGGGAATTTTGTTTATTTCTCTTGGTGATGACATGCTTATTTATATTCATGCTGTTAATCTTTTTCGATTTGCATTTCTTTACCATTATTGTTATCTATTACATTTATGTTATAGTATATTTTTAATGCTATTATGTTTTATCAGTTTTGTTTGATAAATTTTATTCGGCTTTTGTACATCGAATGGAATTTTCAAAGGGCACAGTTGATGTTGAAAGTTTTTTACAAGTAAATTTTAATTTTAACTTTACTGACCAACTGAGAGCGGTAATCAGAGGGTTGTTTGTTGATATCTAATAGCAAACCAGCAAAACTGGAAACATAATTTATAGTCTTTCGGCCAGCAAATGTGGGCATATTTTGTTTGTTGCAGCCCAGATCAATATCTTTTCGGGTATAATATAAAACATACATGCACATGTGCATGCATTTTTACGTTATTACTTAATTTTGGTTGTTAAAATATTTTTAATTTTTCAATGTCATTGATTTGTAATTGCCAATAATTATATTTATAAAAAAAACGGGCTGGTTATCGAAAACGTTTCGTTGCCTTTTAGTCGTTAAGTGATTGTATTTATAAATTATATTCCAGTATTTGCTCTGCGCATTGCTTTACATTAATCAACGTGATTGATTTTGATTCACACATTGTGTTACTACATTAAAAAGCCCATCTGATGTGCCTTTTCCCTTGCAATTCGCTATTAGTCAACACAATGCGATCGTCTGAATCGAAATAGAGCGAAAGCAAGTGGAGCAATCAGTAACCTCTAACTCTAAGCAAAGAATACCTAAGCTGTGCCTGTTAGCGTTTTCACATTGTTTATTTTCAAACGTTTATTAATTTCAAATCAGGTGTGACTGAATCATTGTTCAATATTGTATGTTAATGTGGAATTAATTGATAAATGGTAAAAATCAGAGGATAAAGAAGTTAAAGTATTTGAGAATTAAGTTCGGGTTACTTAAATGTGAATAAAACTAGCATAGGATTATGATTACTTAAGTGTGTAAATAAAGGTAACTCTACTGCCAGTTATTTAATAAATCTATTGTACCATTGTATACAAGGGTGTTGTTTTTTAATTGGTTGATTTGTTAGATCCATAGACGCAGTTTCCGAAACGGAAAGTTTTATACTGCAAGTATGTAGTATAATTCAACAAATGAAATGAAAAAAGTTTTGGTGTGACGAAAAGCTCAGGCGGCCATCGTTTGAAGAATTAGAAATTTCGGGTTATTAGGCGGTCGTCAACTTGATGAAAAAACGCTTGATTCTAAAATATTTTTGTGTTGACTGTGAAAGTGTCCGAATTCTTTTGTCTTGTATAAGCAGACCATAATAATAAAAACTCGATCAATTTTCTCCTCTGAGTACTGAAGTTGAAAATTTATCACTCGTGCAATTGCAAAGACATTAATAGTTAAACTGCGTGTAATTAAGAAGGTATTGGAGTTAAGATCCGTTAGGTTTCGGGTTCGGATCCCAGCCGCATTTATCGGAATTAAATGTGCTTATCACTTTCCTTCTGAAAAAAGGTAAAGGCAAAACATTTGTTCTTGCTTAAACTTACTACTTCAAATGAAGAATATACGTGTTTCCATGATGCAAATATGGCCTTCCTCGCATTAGTATGGCCGGTGTTTTTAATGAATTTCAGAAAGATTTATTACATTATTTGTTTTCCAAATGTGTGTTTACTGGTTTAAATCAATAAAGACTAAAAGCTGTCCATGTACATCATAACTAAGGAAAGTTAATGCTAAACTTACCGAAAGCTTCATCGTGCCACCTGGAATGAACGAAAAAAATGATAGGAATTTGTGTGTACACACTGAATAAAATCAAAGGATCGGCCTTTTTTGTATTGAAGTGTGTAATTAACGGTCTTTTTCAAGCCTTCAAAGGTACATTTAGCCTAGCGCCTTCGACTTATTCAGTCATGACTGGATGAAGGCTTGAAAAAGACTGTTAATTACACACTTCAATACAAAAAAAGCCGATTCTTTGAAAAAAAAAGTTAGTCTGAAGTCCAATTATTTGAAATCGGCAAAGGAAAGACAAATAATTAGCGAGAGTCATAAACGTTCAGATGCTTCTCGAAAAACTCAGTTCAAGCTAACGAAATGCTTCTTACCAACTTTCTGCAAGCTGGCGCTCCATCGTCCATTTGTTATTCATTAATTCTCAAAACGTTCACACAATCAAGATCTACACCAAATCTTGCATTTAACGGGCAGGAGAATACCGTACCAAATCAATCTACAAATTCCCGTAAGACATAAAAACCCGATGACCCATTTCGTTCGTAATCCGTAGCATACTAAAAATGTAGTCAGCTTTTCGATAAAACTCATACAATATTGAAGTTTTTATCGCATTCCTGACGCACCGAGCTACAGAACTAACATGATGATATAATTGTTTGCGTAATCTTCCCTTCGATGTGTTCTTGCATTTACTTCGCTATTTGATTTCAGTTTTATTGTTGTTTGTTGACCATGTCGTTGAAAGTTTCAATTCATGCAGAAATATTTTCAAAAGTTTCACATTCCAGCTTGTTTGCATGATTGTCGGCGACAAAACAGCTTTCTCAGCGAAAGATAAACAAAATCCGATGATGCAGCTCATGCGACTTTTTGCGCTAAATCCAATGCTAGTTTTCAAACGAGTCTTAGCTCGATTTTTATGAAAATTGGAGTTTTTTTAGCTTGATATGTTTACCTATGAATGCTTGTTTTGAATCGCAGCATTAAGAGCCACGGAATATGTATAAAACTTGATTTTCATACGGGCTGACTGAATAGCATTTTGCTCAATTTTCATGAAAAATTTTCGTGCAGCTTGATATGGTGTGCAAAACTAGCCTACAGACAAAGTCATAATTTGTGTCAACGAATAAAAATCGATGTGCAAATGTTCTTAAACGTTTGAAATAAATTTAAAAGTAAGCAAAAAATGTAGTATCTACTTTATTTTGTGCGAGACGCACTTCGGTACCAATGCCGCCATCTTCAGGGGCAGATCAAAACTGACCAGTCTCAATCTGCCCCAGCAGATGGCACCATAGGTACTGAAACAGGCCTCAAGCCAAAAATGAAGTTTCCTCAAACTGGTAAAACTCAGTTTTATTTTTGAGTTTTTCCGAAGGTTCCAAGCCTAGATAACAACACAATTAACAACATTATGAGATGCTTCAAACCTAAGTGAAACTGACGCCAAAATTGAGAAGATCCTAGAGAATTTTCAAATCTCCCGCTGTAAAAGAATACATTTATGCTGCAAGCAGAGGGAATCGAGAGTCAAAGGATAGCCGACAAACAGCATTCTATAAACCAATTTTGAAGATCCCAACCTATAACCTCTTTGATCTGTGGCGCTCTGGCATTATGAACATTATTGCAATACAAGCGCGTTTAAAGTATATATCAAATATTTTTACATATTTCCACACATTTATGCATATTTCCCTCTATACTCTATAGGTCTATCGCCTGGAAATAGGGAAAACAGATGTTGAAAGACACCGGAACATAACATAACGGGAGTTTTTCCAATTAGAAAATGAGACAGTGGCCCCTGTCATGTCAGATACGCCCCCTTTTGTATATGAACCAAAAATTGTAAACTTGAAAGATCCAGAGTCCGGTGGGAAGTGCTAGAGTCGGTTCTTTGAGCGATTGTTTGTTGCTCGAGTTTAGTTGTGTATTATTTTATATTGCGTTTGTCTAGCAGTGAATCCCTTATTATGATAAAACGGGTCTGTTAATGCCCAGTGATTAGTTAATGTTGAGTGGCAATATTTATTGTTAACTGCTTGGACTTAACACTTGTTTATATTTTGTTTTTGGTTTGGTGTTATGTGCCTTTTGTATTTAATTAATAACAAATTAAGCTTGGCATGAGAGTTTGTCATAATGACAGTCGACTTTAATGATTATTTTTGGGTAAGTATTTAATATAAGAATCATGTTTTATTTCCCCCTATATCGGGGCTTCTGACTAATTGGATTCTTTTCCGTTCATGTAGGGTGAGAAGAACAATGGCTTCGATGTCTTGTATCATAACATGAAATTTGGCTTAAATGCCAGCAAAGATTTTGCGGAGTTTCTTCGAGAAAGGTAAAATTGAAATGTACCATTCCCTTGAAAATCGCCCCACCAAACTAACCGAGAACAGAATAGTTTCAGTTTACTTTTCAAGTATATTCAAAGTACAATTCTGGTGCTCTTACATATGCAAAAATCCTAATCAAATTGGGGTTTCGTGCTCTTTCAAAATAAATACAAATTGCACCAGGAAACATTTTATGTAAGCAGTGGAATCACAACTTTTTGCTTTGGAGTTCTAACACTGTTTTTATTAAATACTTCGCTTGCATGATTAACCCCCTTTTATCAAAAAATACATGCTGATATTTAACTGTGTTCTTGCAAAAAGTTTGAAACCCAGCACAGAATTGAACTTTAAAGCCTCAAAAGCACGGAACATTTTAGACTTCTTTTAATTCTGTTATTTGACTAGAATCTAGACAATTTTAGGTGAACAATCTTTCTTTGATCTAGATCCAGTATAGAAGAAAATAACTCGAAACTTCTAACAAAGTTAGCTAAACAAGCAGGAAGTTGTTGTTCTCAGGGAACTTTTGCCCCACTATGGCAGGTTGTGAAAGCATCTGCAGAGAAGCTTTCCGCTCTACATGTACAAACAATGCAGAAGTTGACCGATCTAGTTAAAGAAGTTGGAAAATATGCTGAAGAATTACACAAAAAACACAAGTCGGTGAGTGGATTTTTACAGCTATAAAAATGTACACCTGTTTAAACAAATTAGCCAAATAAAGCTGATTGTAATTCCGCGCGTACTCCGGATACAGCATTTTTGTGCATGACTGAACGCCAATTGACGCAAAAACGTTATTATGATTATGATTGGATTACAGAGTTAATCCACCAATGGGCCGTACGCAGAGGCGCTTGGTTTATGTAATATTTGTCTAGATTCTTGTATAACTTCAACTGAAACTGTGAAATTTGAAATTAACAAGCTTAAGCCGACTTGTTAGGTGCGGTTTCGCCAAAAATAGCAAATCGATAACTTTAGGGATGAACCAATTACGTTAAGGCATAGCGTGATTATTGGGATTTCCAAAAGAATACGAGTAAATTAGCAGGATTTCGTTTATTTTTATTTCATTAGAAACCAATTTTGTTGCCAGTGAGATCAATAAGTTTTGTATTTAAAGCCTCTGAACTACTGATATTTACTCGAAATCCAATGGACAAGAAGCGACGTTTTATACCTAAACAGAAAACTTTGATAGCAAGCAAATCGCAACACTCCCACATATAAGTTATTTATAATTTTATCTAGCGCTTGATATGCTTTAAATTCAGTAATTTAACTAATCTAGCAAAGTTTCCATTATTTTATTTGTCGTGTCATTGTCTGGCTTCTCTGCAGGCTAAATGAACCTCAACTAGACCCCTTTGCTCCAAAAGCAATTCAATTATAGCCGTTTAGGGAATTAAAATATTCCAGGCAATAAACGAAGATTTATGTGTTTCCATCAGAAATCAATAGAAGCAGGAAATCCGTAAATAGCGGCATAGAAACTTGTAAATAGTTACTGAACTATTTTTCAGCGTTCACTCCCATATGCGAAGCATACAATTTTTATGTGGTTTTGCTCGATTTATGCTTGAAATGTTGTAGATAGTTTCACTTTGGGCAACGCTCAATTTTACGTAATTATTTGAAAAATAATACGAGGTTGATTTACGTTTAAATTATATTAGAAACAGGCTTGGCAGTAACTGGATTAGTTTCGCAACTTTGAGAACATTTTAAAGACACAACTGATTTAGAAAACGACTTATCAATCCTCCTTTGTAATATTCTCCTTTAAACAAGCAAGAGTAAACTTAACAATCAAATAGATTTGACGTGTTACTAATATGCATTAAGAGTACTTAATAATGCGGTCCACCATCCATGCTGGATCGTCATGTGAAAGGGCAGAAGTCACACATTCGAACGTTGTTAATGCCAATTATTATTAATGTCAATGGCTCGGTAAACACTTCTTTAAAGTGCTGTTTTATTGCAACTGTTTCTCTGCGTATGTAGGTCCGATGTATACAGTTTAAATACATATTTAAACATCTAATTAGGTGCTATGAATCTGTTTCGATAAACACGTCTGACTAAATCCTTGAAAAATTTATTAGGCCTCTAAAGATAATGTTTTGCTCAGCCGAAACGACTGTGGTTTGTGCCAATTAAACGTTTATTAATTGGCATAAATAATTTTATTGCAGGTGAAAGAGGAAGAATCTGGTACCTTGGAAGTAGTGCAGGCCATGCAAACCGTTACATTAAACGTACAAAAGTCTAAGGATGTGTATAATCAAAGATTTTTAGAATTTGAGCGATTGAAAAAGGAGAACGCGTCGGCGAAAGATTTAGAGAAAAGCGAGCAAAAATTTAAGCGGTCACATGAAGATTACAAAGGTTTTGTAGAAAAATATTGCACAGTTAAGGAAGAATTTGAAAAAAGAATGTCCATGAGCGTGAAAAACTTTCAAGAATTGGAAATTAGTCACTTGATTCATATGAAAGAGTTTTTGAATTATTTTGCCGACGTTATTGAATGGGCGCATGGGGAAATGGGGAAGGTACATAAGGAATTTAGACAACAGTGTGTTGATTTGACGATTGACCAACTGCTAGAACAGTTCGTTAAAAATAAATCTACAGGACTTGAAAGGCCAGGTACTTGGACAATTCCAGTAGTTTTAGAAATTTCAATAATCGGTATTTTAGGGATCTTAGATCTAGAAGAACCTGTATTGTCTCCCACTCAAGAAACCGAACCCAGTGCAAAATCATCCAAGAGAGAAGGTAACGGTCCTAGCAATCAGACAGTGCCAACACATGCCAACAAACCTTCCCGCCGAACAACTTCCTTATTAAATCTCTTCATGTCTAATTCGCAGGGTACGTTTAAAGAAGACCCTTTTACTATTGTCTGATGTATTAAGCCTTTGTCATTTATGTTAACTGTTATGTAAAATACACTCTCAAAGTTGTGGTGTGTTGAGGAGCAACTGTTCACGCGAGGGCAGGTTTTTTATGTCTGTATTGTGAGTCTTCAAGAAGGGAAAAAAGTAAATATCATGGTTCAATGTTCTTCAATTACCCTAATCAAGATGGTTGGAAATGTAGTTTAGTTTATTGTCAATACTCTACTCGACTTATTAGCAAATTACATCAGTACCTGCGAATGATTCTCAGATAGAAGAAACCAAGCGGTTTCAACGCATCTTTTCCACGGCTGTAGTTTTAAGCTATTGTGACTCAGTCCTGAAATTAATTCATTATTTATTAAGCAATTAAGGTTTAATACAGACGACATTGAGACACCCTGGCTAATGTCACATCTCTTGAATGGCAACTGGATTTTTAACTTTGGGCTTTGGGCTGTATTTTTTTAGGTTCTCGTGAAAGCCGTCCTGGGCCCTGCAGTGCCCCATCCAGCCCCACCAGTCCCGAAGGAAAGCAACAGCTGACTCGCCATTCTCAACGCGGATCCAAATGTAAATCTTAAACAACTCCCTTACAACAACCCTTTTTGATTCTTTAGTACTGTTTTAGAATTTGGCACTTGTTTTTTTTGCATATTTCTCATAGTCTATAGGTTTCTTTTTCTGATGCCGCCCTGGAAAATTCTTATTGCTCAAAACATTGCAGCAATGTTGATATCAAATGAAACTTTACTTCACATTCGCTCTTTTGGTAATGGACTATTGCAACTAGATAAAGCGTGAGAAGTTGGCTGCGTTTATTAGTTGTGTTCCTAGATTTTCTGAATTGTACATGTTTTAATCAAAAAGGGGAATTATTTGGTAAGATTTTCATGGTGAAAGTGAGATGGGTGTTTGTTGATTTTTAGCGCCTCAAAAATGTATTTCATTTATCATTCATCAGTTTTGACCAGTTTAGTCAGCGTTCCGACATTGAGTAGAAAGGCGAGATATGCAAACAAAACAAATACCATTCTAGGTTTTGGCGACTTCTGTTACATTTCTCTTGATTTTCTTATTATTTCTGTTTTCTGCTCTTTCTTAGTTTCCATTATCTACTGTGACATTTCACTTTAGCATGGATCTTGCACGCAACTTTAGAGTTAGTATTTTTATTCATTTTTCTTAACATAACCAGGTGGAGGTTTAGTGTAAATTAGGAGATTTAACAGTATGTCCTTGCCTGTTCGAGAAATACTAACACTTTCACTTGGAAATGCGTATATAGAAAATGGTAGGTAGATAGGCAAGTATATAAAGTCTTTCAAGTTTGTTGTTTGTTGAAGCTGCGCATATTATAAAAAAATCCAGCATTGCTTTATACTGAAATCCTTGTATTAAACTGAACCACACGGCGATTACAGATCTAAATTTCAATCTATTGAAACCACTACAACGAAACATAACTTTGAGGCTTTCGGAACATTTTATTTTTCTAATAACTTATGAAATGTTAATGCCTCTACACCAGTGTGCGTGTTATTAATAATGCAGGTAATATGAATTATTTACCCATTTACTTCTCATATTGAGCCGATTCCAGCTATCGCACGCATAAATACACTGGAATAATACGAGGATTCTGTCAGGGTTTGTTCAATTTGCAGTCTCAAGCAATACAAATATAATACAGACAAATATGCGCATAAGTAATTCCCTCTATGACTGTGCTTGTCTTTAATCACGTTTTATTTTTCCTTTGGCATTGTGTTGGCAATTGTCTCCCTTAAACCACCCATTAGTTATAAGCTTTGTTACAAGTTGATATGTTTGGAAAAAATCGCCAGTTTATGTAAAACCGTTCTGCTAACGATAATTTTTTAGGGTTCTTGCGTAGTCGACGCGATAAAGGAAAGAAGAAAAAAACGACGAAAAAACAGCAAACAAAGGATAGTGTTGATAATCAAAGCAATAAAGAGGAGAAATCTGACATGTAAGTTTAAGACCAGGGTTCTATTATTCGGGTGCGATATTTTTTATATCTAATGTATTTTTCACTGTAATCAAGGGAAGAAAAAGATGATTCTCAAAAAAGCGACAGCGTAAGTGGCCCGCCAAATCCTTCGGCTACTCAGGAAGTGGATGATGACGGATATGTTATAAGACCAACAGTTACTCAGGCTTGGAACGAAAAAACCAACTTTTACTCGTCTTCCGATTCAGGCTCTGGTGACCTCAACGAAACCACTATTACCAAACTGAGAAATAATGATAGCTGTTTCTAGATGATGAACCAGAAGTGAAACTCCACGTCGAAATTAAGCCTCTTAACAACGGTTCAACTCCCATGTCGGCCTCAGTGGACGAACTGCGAGCTACAGTTGAAAATATTTATCTATGTCCAACTGGAGGGTTTGGCAGGCGCGGATCAAACTTGGATAACGACATGACGATGAAGAGATCGCAATCTGTGTCTCAGCAAATCGGAAAGCCCAGCACAGATTTATTGGGGCTCAGTTTCGTACAAAGCCCTACTGCTTCTAATGCTTCCACTCCGACCAGCTCGCACCCCTATGCGCCTTTACAGAGTCCATCTCAATTGGCTTTGAATTCGCCAACTTTATCTATTGGCTCAAAATATGCAGGTAAACCGTCGTGTATACTTGTTCTGTGCTCAGTTTCCTGCTAGGGATATTAACACGTTATCACCGACGCGTTCAGTTCGGTTTATTTATTGAAGTATGTTGTTCTATTGGGCAAGTAAGAAAGCACGTTCTTTACAAATGTCGGCGCAATTCAGACCCATAGTTTAGCCATGGGTAACACTGTGTTGTGTGGCACTTTTGTGATGATGCCGCCCGGTGCGTCGATGTGTTACAACACGTCGAATCTTACGATGCAATGCCCTGAATAACACCTAATATTTAATCTCATTCATGATGGCAGACTTCGGATTGCAAGTTCGTGAAGCATATGATTCGCGACACTGTCGGCAGTGATTATATTATGTGTTATGTAATTAGCCATATGCGTTCTAAATTTTGTCAAAATCGACGAAGTTCACTCATAGCTAAGAAAATTTTGCGCAGGATTTGAGAAAACTGTTGCGGGACACATTTTGCATTGCGTTTTTCTAAAATAAATTTCTTAGAAAAATTAAAGAACAGAAAAACCTCTCAGTGCGCGCTAAAATTAAGGCAAAACTGAAACTCGACATTTTTGATAAAAAAAAAACATAAAACTGATGATTCAGATGGCATATAAATGGCAACCAGGGGCAAAGTAATGATAAACTTACCGAAAGCGCTGCGTAGTGTCACCTGGAAAGAAAGGGAAATTGTGTTTATCAGCAGGAAATCCATTCAATTCATAAAACTTTCATTTTATTCAAACTCAAAACACGACACAAAGGACTCGACCGATTTCGTTCACTGTCGATAGCAAACTGCATTCATACACCTTTTCGCAAAAACCTACAGAATAAAGATGATTGTATAATCATGTGCTTGTTCGCCCTTTCGGTGATGCATTGCTCTGCTCTTGCTTCACAGTCGATTTCAGTTTGTTTATTGTTGACATTTTTGTAGAAAGTGCCTTTTCGCATGGCAATATTTCCAACTTAACGAAAGTCAACAACAACCAAACGAACAACGCTTCAAACGCCGATCTTTCACTAATTTAATTTTAAATTTATATTTGTCTGAATTTCATTCAGCTGCAGTGACTAATGCCAAAACTAAAATTAATAATCAATCGGAAGCTGACAGAGAATAATTTTCTCTATTAATGTGGCAATTTCCAATTTGTGTGCCAGTTCCGGGTCTCGTAAAGCTTTAATCCGCCCCTGGACTCAGCGTAATTCAAAGTGCCGCGCAGTGAGACGCGATGAGTTATAACTCCGCTTAGCGCACAAAGCGGCAACAACCCAAAAGCCCAACTCAGCACAGTGTTACCCATGCCTATTATCTACTGATAAATTCTTATATGCTTGATTAACACATAAATGGTTGATTTTGATAAATATAAACCTTATTTATCCCGGTTTGGTATCGGTTCTCTTAATCCTCTAACTTCACATGAAAGCTTGCTAAAAACCAGTCGGCCCTTGATTATTGTTGACTCTCGGCTTTAACCCGCCTCAGAAACGCTTACTTCAACTTACAACAGGTGTTGTGAGGTAAGGTAAAGTGAAGAGGCGTGTTATTACTAAGCGCCGTGAGGTGCGTTGAAGCCTCGATAAAAATCAACTCAAACGCGGTTGATCGTCACGTCGTTAATTCTTAAAGCTAGCGGTTGGTAAAGTGTTAATAACTTAGAACGGCGGCGATTAGATGTAGGCATATTTTAGAGTTGGGTGACATTTTCTCTGAAGACAATGAAACTCAAATGCCAAAACAGCCGAGTAGGCAAACTCCAACTCCAACCTCTGGCTATATGTCTATTCCACGGCCTCCATCGCGCCGCTCTGACCCCAATAAGAGTCTCATGCAACAAAACTCGAATATTTCAAGAGCGGATAGTATCAATAGTTTGGAGTTCCGAACGGCGTGTGTGCCCGTTGGGGTATCGAGAGGCCCGTCGCCGTTAACTATTGGCATGGCAGACACAATTCCACTGGCAGTAGCGTTCCACGAGATTGTTCACTCGTATTTCAGAGGCGCTGAAGAGTCCAGGTAGTGGAATTTGTGAGATTTTGAAAATTTGCTGCAGTTGTTCGGTTGTAGGTGCCAAGTGAAAATGTCGGGTGAAATGATGCTTTCGTTTCCGGCCGGTATCGTGACGATACTTGCAAGTAATCCAAATCCCGCTAAACTGATTTTTAGAGTTAAAAACACTCGCCACCTTTCTTCAGTGCTGCCGAATGAAAACTTGGTCTCTCTGTAAGTGAAGCCACTAAATTGATTGGCTTTGTGCTGTTAGTGAACTGCTCACTTCTATTTCAGAGACCCAGGACAATCGTCCACGGATAGTCTTGCTGTGGAGTTCAACATGTCGGCCCTAAGCTCCCTGTTAAGGAAGCAATCTGAGCAGAATCCCAACGCTTCATATTTCAATGTAGATATACTTAAATACCAAGTAAGTTAACTTTGACTCCATTGTGGTTTAAGTGAAAACGAGTTTTCATTTACAGATTAAGGCAAAGCCTGGCGCCAACTCCTGTCCTCTTCAGCTTGTCGCTTACTGGAAGTGCGCTAACCTACATACTGACCTAAAAATTGAATACAAATATAATTTACATGCTATGAGCTCCCCTACGCCATTGCTTAACGTTTCTGTCTCAGTTCCGGTGGACGGTGTTATCAAAACTATGCAGTCCAAACCTCAAGCCCATTGGTAAGTTCATTTGTGTTTCAGACTCAAAAATAAGTTACTTGAGCGCAGGAAAGAGTTATTATTAGTTACATGATTTGTTTTCCAGGGCCGCGGAAAATAACAGATTAGTTTGGAAGTTCACTGAACTCTCACAGCATTCTGAAAACAACGGGGTTGGTTCAATGCTAGCTCGGTATGATGTTGAAAATGGACCTGGAACTCCTTCAACTATTAGTGCGCAGTTTAACTGCGAAGGAACCACTTTATCAGGGATAGACTTCCAATTGGTGGGACTGGGTTATCGACTGTCTCTAGTCAAGCGTCGTTTTGTTTCAGGAAAATATATTTGCGATGGTGACCGCAAATATAATTCTGGTTTAGGGACGCCAAATACTGTTGGATCTGGGGATCCTCAGTGCTAGCATTCCGCGTTAAGCTATGCGTTATTCTACCATAATCCTTTTCATTCTATTTCTATAAGATTTCAGCGTTATAAAACTTATATAGTTTATGAGCTATTTTATAAATAAATAAATCGTAAATGAAAATTTTTTGCTAAAGAGTTAGTGGATTATTTTGTATTAGCATACGGAGGAATAGGACTATTCCTAGTCCCGACCTCCAACGTTTCGACTAGTTTACTACACATGTCTTTTTTGTTTGCAATAGCCACCTCACCGTTTGTTATTTTAAGATTTTTCAACTACTTTGATTGACATATCAGAGCTTATTATAAGTGATATGCTAATTATTTGGCAATAATAATTGATGAATTGAAATCTCCTATTAAACAAATTGTTTCCAATGTGTTTTTTTTGTTTGTGTTTTTGACGCCACTTTTTTCTTACGTTCAACGCGCTGAAACAATATAAAACACTCTGTGATGTACACGCACACAACTAGTTTTTTCCTTCGTGCGTTTTATGCGCTCGTGAGAATTTTCGGCGAGTTTCTCCATTGCCATCCACACAAAACAAAGACTCGGTGAATATTGCCTTTTTAATAGACGATCTTGTGCAAACTGGTCACGTTTTATCACGAGGGAACGTAAAAAATGAAACGCCCCTTTCAACTTTTAAAAATGTTTGTTTTCGTATGAATAAAAAAGATAAAAAGCATTCACACACTCAATTACTTATTGTCTCAATTGAATTGGCAAATCAGAAATAAATTCTGGTTGCCCGGATTTGATTTGCAATTTTTTAACCTAGTTTAAATTGTGTTGAATTATAAAACTCATCACAGTTTTTCTGCTGCAAACTATTGCAGGGATTTAACCGCCTTTTCAGCTCCTTCATCAAGAGTCTGTGCAATTTGTATATCCAAACCAGATTCCTTAATTATCTTCCGCGCTTCGCTGGCATTCGTGCCTTCCAGCCTCACAATAAGGGGAACTTTCAGGGGTTCTGTTTTAATTGCGCCTACAATTCCATTTGCGATTGTTGCACAATTTACGATGCCCCCAAAAACGTTTACTAAAATTGCTTTGACTGAGGGATCTGAGGTGATGATTTTGAATGCTGCCCTAACTTGTTCTTCTTTAACGCTGCCTCCAACGTCCAGAAAATTGGCTGGATCTCCGCCGTAGAGCTTTATGATGTCCATCGTTGCCATCGCCAAGCCCGCCCCGTTAACCAAACACCTGGAAAATATTCCAATAAACCCTGATAACAATTGCGTTTGGCAGCAACTACCCAATATTCCCAGTCATTCCAATATAATTCAGGTTGAATTTAGCTGCTTCCACTTCCCTTGGATCGCTCTCAGTTACATCTTCCATGCCAAAAACGTCTGTTTGTCTGTATTTTGCATTGTCATCAAAGTTAAGTTTGGCATCAACTGCGATTACTTTGCCTGGAATGCCATCGCAGGAATGGTTTTCATAAATATTAAACCACTGTAATTCATGGACTTACCGTCGTCTGTTTCTACAAGAGGATTAATTTCTATTTGTACGGCATCAACTGTGACGAACAAGTTCCAAAGCTTTTTGATTTCACTTGCTGCTTTGGCCTTTAAGTCGCCTTTGAATTCGAGAAATTCCGCTAGTTCGTTTGCCATCTTATCCGTAATTCCTTCGAAGATATCAATGGGGATGTTTTTAAGAAGTTCTGGGGTTTTTTCGGCTACGCTTTCAATGTCTACGCCTCCTAAAAATGGAAAGCTTAAAGCACTGAGGGTGTTTTCATAGTCTGCTGGATTTTACCAGCGGGAGAGGCAATGATAACAGGTCCATTCCTTTGCCTATCCATCAGTATGCACAGATATGTTTCTCTTTTTATATTTACACTTTCAGCGATCATAATTTTCTTAACAGGGATTCCTTCCTTGGGTGTTTGTTTGGTGATAAGGTTGTGGCCCAGCATTTGTTTCACAATTGATGTTATTTCATTTCGTCTAAAAATACATGGTCCTAAGATAATGGGGTTAACAACTGATGAAATTCGCATACTTTTCGGTAATGTGCACCCCGCCTTTAAAGCCGTTGTCGAAATGACCCTTTCCTCTGCCCCCAGCTAGGATTTGTGCCTTTATTACATATTCCTTGGCATCTGGAAATGATTATGAATGTTTTATTTTCGGCGACTAATGTGAATGAATGCACTCACTAAACTTGTCCAATCCTTGCTCCCCATTTTCATCAATCATGCAAAAATCTTGAATAGCCACATTACTCTTCCTTAGAAGATTTTTGCTTTGATATTCCAGCAGATTTAAGTACCGTACTGGCACCTGAAAGAGCCACACGTTTAGAGTTTAGCAAATTTGCTTCAAACACTTACTTTGTATAGATCCTGTTTCGAAGAACATTTAACTAAGCAATTCCATAAAGACATCTTAATGCATTCAATGTATAGGTGTTTATTAAATCGAGCAGTTCAATATCAGTGTTAAAGTCCAAGTTTAGCGATATTGCTTGTAGAGATTAAATAAATATAAACGCAAAATGTCAGGTTAGGTTAATTGGTAGTAGGGATGGGATGCTATAACATCGATGGTATCCATCGATGTTAGGGAAAAATCGAAGTCAGAACATCACTTGTGATAGTTTGCCGTTGTTCTGATAGTTTGCCGTTGGATACAAAATTCAAATTGATTAACTTAAACTTAAATAATTTTATTTTACTACTACTATGACATTTTAAAACAATGCATTGGTAAATAATCGACTCAATTTATTCAACTTATAATTCCTACATTTTTCGGTCAACTGCCTGCAAAGAGGCTTTTTTCGGATGCAGCTGGAAATGGGCATTTATGGCGCGGTATCGTTTGTATCGGCACTATCAAAGAGTTCGCAGAAAATGTCTATCTAGTTTCAACATCACATGTCCGATGTTTTTATTTCAGGATCTAACATCGATGTTTAATCGATGTCCTAAATTTCCAACATCGATGGTAAAAATATCGAGCATTGAACGAATTACATCGATGTTTTTCTCCCATCGCTACTTGGTAGAGATGTTTAGGCATGTCATTTTAGATATCCCGCAATGAAGAATAAACGGATAAAAATGGGTTTATTGGATTGATTAAAAAATCGCTTGCTCAACTATGCTAACACAGACAAACTCAAAATAAACCGAAAGGACAATACGTAAAAATACGTCACTATACTGCATTGTGTTGAATTCCTATCGACGCGCCAGATAATCTCAATCAATTTTAAACGTTTTACACGATTTAGCAGCAAATAGCACCGGACAATCTCATTTTGGTGCATAAATAAGGGGTTTTGAAAAGCGAATTTTAAAGGTTTGTAATGTTTTTTGATTTTTATTTTAATTATTTATGGACGATCCGGGAATCTTTTTTCGCTGAAAGTAATTTGAAGTGGTCTTTAAGATAAAAAAAGAAAAAACTTAAAATTCGGACCTATATAGTGATTCTTGGACTTGGTCTGAACCTAATTGAAGTTTTCCTTTACATATCAAGCTTAAAAACTTTTAAGCTTGATATGTTGAAGTTTTTAATAGTTAGTCGAATGAAAGTTAAGAAAACGCTCATCTTACAAATGATGCGTTTACTAACAACTTTTTTTAGTGGTGTTTCTTACGGAAATATTTCGATGAATTTTCCTTTTGAGTGACATTCTTCTAGCAAGTGATCACAATTTTTTTTATTGACTTATTATTGACACAAACACTTTATAAATGTACATTTCTGACCTTTTTACGTCGAAAGGAATCGATTAAGCTAAGAAAACCAGCAAGTAAAATTTTGATTTTTGGCGGAAACTTTTCCAAAGGTGGGGGTCGATTTTTTGAAAAAATTAAAATTTTCTAAACATGTTTTCTTGTCTCACAAGAATCTGTGATTGGTTTCGAAGCTGCTGGGTCAGCCATAAATTATGACCAAATAACTCTTGTTCCTTTATGTATACAAAACCTTTAAATTCGTTTTTTGGCCTTCGCCGACTGATTTTTCATGCAATTAAGCAGTGTAATTTTGCAAATTTTGATTTTTGGTCGATATTTTTCTAAGGGTAGGGGTCGATTTTTTAAGCAGATGAAAATTTTCTCAAACTGTCTTAAATTTTACATCGTTTTCAGCTCACGGAAGCGAGGAATGCATCGAACTTATTGAAAAACGTGGTAGAAGTTTAAGATCTGAAATAATAGACATTTTTGGCAAATTTTAAGCGTTTTTAGAACGTTCACGATCTTCATCCGATGATTTCTTCCTTATTATTGACCCAAACACTTTATAAATGCATATTTGTTTCCTTCTTACGTCGAAAGGAGTCGATTGCGCTCAAAAAACACACATGTGAAATTTTTCCAAAGGTGGGGGTCGATTTTTTGAAAAAAACATTTTTTTTTAAATGTCTTAAATTTGAAATCATTTTCACGGCCGCGAGAAATGCATCGAACTCATTGAAAAACATGGTAGAAGTTTCAGACCCGAAAATAGACATTTTCGGCACATTTTAAGCGTTTTTGAGCGTTCACGATCTTTATTCGACGATTTCTTCCTCACTATTGACCCAAACACGTTATAAATGCATATTTGCGACCTTCTTTCATCGAAAGGAATCGATTGAGCTCAAAATTTGAATGTGTGAATATATTCAGAGCCCATTTCGCTCCAAACTGTTGCAAATACAAATTTTCAGTGAACGATGAATGTGTAGAGAATACACTTTGCAAACAATTTGTTGTTGTATTTTGAAAATGAGTTAATCGCGGTAAAATTCAAAGTATTTTGTTCGGGAAATCGTCTTTTGGAATTTTGGGAAATTTGAAATAATAGAATAATGAAATGGTTAGAAGAACGAATAGAGAAATGAGTCCTGCAGATCCGTAAAACCCAATTGGAGCTGAAATGTGTGCATTATATGGAGTGATTGTTATGGATATTTTTAATGGTATTGGCTCGAGGGCAAAATGTATGAATTCGTTATTTCGTGGAACTTTCGCTACCAAAATAGCGCATTTTGAAAAATCTTTGAAATCCTTTAAAATATGGCTCGGATATAACAATTACTTATTTTTTACATACTCTGATGGAGAATGTTTTTTTATGAGACAAAGTTTTATTAAAATGCGCGCCTAATAACACAAAATCGATCAGACCCTTATACATATTTTAAGAGATTTAGTGGAAATGTTTTTCTCTTTCATTGGCAAATACCGAAAAGTTCATGAATATTTCGTTGATCTGACATGTATAATTAAAGAATCTTTTATATTTTTCGGTTTCGCAAGTCAGTATTTTAGTCCGACACTGGTGGCTTACATTAGCCATTTAAAACTTAGTAATGTGACCTAAAAAGAAATCTCATTTTGTTCCAAATATGGTACTGTGCTCGAGAGTCGTCTATACCACCATTCTTGAAGGCAATAAAAAACATATGTTAAATTATTGCGGTTTTTCGTTTTTAAGCTGAAATTACGACACCATTTAACGTTTTCACATGTTGATTTCAATGTGCCTAATACAAAAACCAATAGTTAATCGCGCCAATTAATTCCGCTGTTATTTCAATTACTGCAAGGAATTTCAAATATACAACGTTTTTTTTGTTTTGCTTATTAAATAAAGCGGTAAGTCAAATCGTCAATAAGTTAGTAAGTACTGAAAATACATTTGCATTTGTTATGACAATGTTTAGTTGTTTTTAATTGCCTTTGATGAAATAAAACACAGACAGGAGTCATTATGGTCTGATAGTAGTTCTTCAGGTCAACTCGATAAACCTTCTTGCAAGAAGTGATAAGTAATGTTGAAGATATTTTACTTGGTACAAATGTGATGCCAAGAGTAACATTGTCAGCAAGAGAGGTTTCAATCACCGTAATAGGTGGCTGGTGCAGCATTGTTTCGCTTTAAGTGGTTTTGTTATCGAAAGCTCTCATTGATTACCCGGTATCAGAAGAATTTCAATAATTTTCCGAAAGGTATGAGCTAATTTAATATTAACTTTTCAATCCAACGATCCAATTCTAATTTACATTCGTTGATTCACCTTTTGTATCGCTGCCAATAACCGTTTCGGATATTTTTCAAAATTCGCTTCAGCTTCCTGATGCATGCAAGCATATAGAGAATTTGCTAGTTAGGGCAGGTCATTTTCCAAACAGCTCAGCATTCGGCTCTAGGAATTTCTGGGTTTTATCAATTTCGTTCTCTATTTTTCTACATTAGTCACATTTATCGTCCACTAATGTTTCATGCGATTAAATTGCCTGTAGGTATATATAGTATGACTAATTTTCAGTCACTGTAACTTTTGATAACTCACGATGATGCATAAAATGAATAACCAAATATAATTGCTAAATGTCACGCTATTTACTAGAAAATAAAAAAAAACAATCGCAAACGTGATTTTTGGATGTTTAACTTCTAGTAGTTTCAGTAACCAATTTCAAACAAATTCGTTCATTCTGGCTGATTGTTTTTTTGAGGTTTGTTCAGCAGTTCCTGCAAATAAAAATTAGTGAAGGAAAATCGAGAATTTTCGCAGAATCAGAACTAACAAATTGCGAGTTGCTTTAATCTCAGGCACCCCTAGGAGCGGTTTCGAGTCCAGTCGCTCTCATCAGCCAGGTTTAGCCTGAAATTAACACTCTTATAACCTGTAGGCGAAATAAATTGTAGGTTTCGGGAGTGTTATTTTCAGGCTAAACCTGGCTAATGAGAGCGAATGAACTAGAAACCGCTCCAAGGGGTGCCTGAGATTAAAGCAACTCGCAATTTGTTAGCTCTGATTCTGCGAAAATTTTCAATTTAGATTAAGCCTACAGATTTATTAAATCCTTTTGTTGAAACTGGGTGAAAATCTAGGAAATAAAAAACATGTTTAGTTACATTTTTGCAAGCAATTAACCACTTTAGTCCGAAGAAGACAAAGACTTGATGGTGATTAAACCACTAAACTTCTATTAGTCTCAGTAACAACTTATTTGATCCACTCTTCCAGCACTTTATTGATCTTTTGCAAACATTTGCTGATGGTTTTTGATTGGGATCAAGCAGAATTTTCTGCCAACATAAAAATTTGTATTCAGTTTTCAGGCGCAAATCGGTTGATATTTCAGGCGCAAATCGGTTGATGCGATGTTGGATTGTATGAATTTGGTGAAAATCGGGAAAATGTTAAGTTGGCCCCCTTAAAAAAATTGTGTTGCCGCTTATGCTAAGCTAGAAACGTCAAGCGATATAAATTTAGACCGCCTTCCAATATTTTTGGTGAGTGATGTGAGAGGCTGGTAGCACATAGAAGATAGAAGATGGTAGCTCTAACAGCTATTCAAAGTGTAAAATTGACGACTTAAAAGGTGATCCATGTATTAAAAAGTGGGGCTTCATGTAAAGAGACAATCTATAAACAACTAACTCATGGACGGTGTGCTATTCTTAGTTTTATAAATATCTTTTAGTTAGCGTTGCGCGCTCGCACCATAAACGAAACTTGTGAAAGTGCAATGATACTAAGGACTGTTTTTTAAGTTTCAATTTTTTTATGAATTTTCAGTTTTCAGGTAAGTGTTCATGATGGAAACCCATTTCTTACCTGTGTGCTCTCATTTAAAAAAAAACCAGATCAGCGCGTTTGCGTGTTTAGTCGAAATCTACAATCCAGTGGAGCTGATTTCTAAAAATATTTCTTTACTTTTTGAATGCTACGTTACCCTTACATTGTGTAAATTTTTTCACCAATTGTATATTAATAGCAGCAAAACCTTAACATGTCTAATTGTAAAGAGTTCTTGACATTTAGGTCTATTTTTGTCCAGTACTGTCTACAAAAGTTGACTATCTAATTTAAGACGTCGCTTTGCTGTTTTTTTTTCACTTAAAATGGCACAGTTGTTTTTTCGGAATATCATGCAGGAAAGCCATATCAAGTCTTGAGAAATTCGCGAAAATCAAAACCACATGTGAGTAATTGCTAAAGTGCCCGCCTGCATGAAGAGCTTGCGGTTCATTCAGTTATCAACTGCATTTTTGCTCACAATATTCATCCCACATAATTATATTTTTGAACCCACGTATAATTAAACTTTTGAGAATGAATGAATGCTTAATCGGAAAATGCTCCGCATCTATTTTCAATTCAACTAGCAATTCATTGTTTAGGCGAGTCTCGAATTTTTCACAATTATTTTTTAACGTTATTTTCACCTTATATATAGTGTGCAAATTGAAATGCAGCTAGCAGCGCTTTGGCGGCTCGTAAATTTTCAAATTCCAACAAACACACCATAGAATATATTTTGATATGGGTTATATCGGAAAATTCTTCGAATAATTAGCAATACCGTGGTGGTTAAAATGTTGCAGCTATCGAAATCCATTCTTGGTATCTAGTTTAACGTTTTAAATATACTGAACTTGCCATCTGTGTCACATTCCATGGTTTTTACCATATTTAGAGAAAAAGGGTGTGTAGCAACCAAAAGCTTAAATTGCAACACTTATTCGACTGCCTAACGACTTATCTTATGATTCATAAATATTATCATTGGAAACGGGTTGCGAATGAATTTCTGTAATTTATTATATACATATTTTTTTTAATAAGTTAAGACACTTTTTGAAGTTTAAAAATAATTTTCTCCTCTGTCGCGGTTTTTATAAATGTCCAATTTGTGTTCTCATCGTGCTTATATTATGCAGAGGGCAAAATTTTCCAACAATTTTAATTGAAAATGTTTGCCAAGTTACGAAAATGGTTTTTGGAATTTTTGGTCATCGATTTGCACAGAAAACAGCGTTTTTTTATGGAAGTCCAGTCCTAACGAGCCGAGCGCGAGCCGAGCCTGAGCAGCGTCAAAACACCGACCGACGATCGCTTTGCTGTCGGTGTTTTCACGAAATATCGAACAAATTTTGCCGCGGCTCAGGCTCGGCTTGTTAGGTTTGGACGCGGCATAAGAAGAGCAGGAATTTTGCATAATCTGAATTGAAAATGTTTGGGATGTTACAAGAATAGTGGACTTTTCAGAAGATTTGCGAAAAAAAAATGTTTTCGGGGGCCACCTTTTCGAAAATTTTTAGGGAGTTTCACGGCCGAAATGTTCGTCTAAAAACAGCCGGACTTTCGAATAATCTGATTTGAAAATGTCTGCTATGTTATGAGAATGGTGGACTATTCAAACAACGATTTGTGAAAAAAACACTGTTTCTTGGGACAACGTTTTGGCAATTTTCAGCAAACTTTGGTCTCAAAAATACTGTCAGAACGTCGCAATGTGGTGGATTGATCAGGTAACGATTTGCGAAAAAAAAATTGTTTGCTGGGGCCAACTTTTCTAAAAATTTTTAGGCAGATTYACGGCCGAAATTTTCGTCTAAAAASKGCAGGAACTTCGAATAATCGGATTTGAWAATGTCTGCGATGTTATGAGAATGGTGGACGTKTCAGACAACGATGTGTGAAAAAAACACTGTTTTTCTTGGCTCAAYGTTTTGGCAATTTTTAGCAACCCTCAGGCCTCAAAAATCCATGAAAACGTCGATCCGAGGAGCAGGAATTTTTAACAATCTGAATTGAAAATGTCTGCAATGTTACGAGAATGGTGGACTGTTCAGGCAACGATTTGCAAAAAATAATTGTTTTCTGGGGCCAACTTTTCGAAAAATTTTTAGGCACTTTCAGGGTCGAAATGTTCGTTTAAAAAGAGCCGGACTTTCGAATAATCTGATTTGAAAATGCTTGCAATGTTATGAGAATGGTGGACTTTTCAGACAACGATTTGTGAAAAAAAGACTGTTTTTCTTGGGCCATCGTTTTGGAAATTTTTAGCAACCTTCAGGCCTCAAAAATCCAGCCAAAACGTCGATCTGAGAAGACCAGGAATTTTTAACAATGTGAATTGAAAATGTCTGCAATGTTACGAGAATGGTGGACTGTTCAGTCAACGATTTGCGAAAAAAAGTTGTTTTCTGGGGCCAACTTTTCGAAAATTTGTTAGGCACTTTTGCGGCCTAAATATTCGTATAAAAAGGGCAGGAATTTCAAATAATCTGATTTGAAAATGTCTGCGATGTTGTGAGAGTGGTGGACTTTTCAGACAACGATTTGTGAAAAAAGACTGCTTTTCTTGGGCCATCGTTTTGGCAATTTTTGGCAACCTTCAGGCCTCAAAAATCCCTGCAAAACGTCGATCCGAGGAGCAGGAATTTTTAACAATCTGAATTAAAAATGTCTGCAATGTTACGAGAATGGTGGACTGTCCAGTCAATGATTTGCGAAAAAAAATTGTTTTCTGGGGTCAACTTTACGAAAATTTTTTAGGCACTTTTGCGGCCTAAATATTCGTCTAAAAAGGTCAGGAATTTCGAATGATCTGATTTGAAAATGGTGGACTTTTCAGACAACGATTTGTGAAAAAAAGACTGTTTTTCTTGGGCCAACGTTTTGAAAATTTTGAGCAAACTTTAGGCTTCAAAAATCCAGCCAAAACGTCGATCCGAGAAGACCAGGAATTTTTAACAATCTGTATTGAAAATGTCTGCAATGCTACGAGAATGGTGAACTGTTCAGTCAACGATTTGCGAAAAAAACTTTTATTTCTGGGGCCAACGTTTTGAAGATTTTTAACTTGAGTAAACAGATTTAGCAGTGTGATCAGAAATCTCATGATTTATCAAACATAAATATAACACAAACTAAATATAATTTGCTTCATACTTTTACACGGCCTAATACAATATTCGGGATCTTTTTAACAATTTTTAACAAAAAACAAGTTAGAACTACTGTTGTTTTTTGGATAAAATTGCTATAAGTTGGACATGGGGCTTTTGCGCGAAAAAAAATCATAACATTCATGTTTTTGCATACAAATCGTGTAATAATGACTTCATAGTCAAAACGGGGCTAAATGGACGTAGGAAACACATACGTACACAGTAGAGCTTTAAAAAAAGTTGATAAAATAAATTTTTGGAAGCATCTAATTGGGTTTGAAAAAAATACCAAAAATCCCAACTCCTAAAGAGCTGTTATGAGTAATTGAAGAATCGAAATATCGGTAGAACTATTTTATATTAGCTTTGTGCAATTTGGAGTGCCTCTTAAGGCCTTAGATCGAAGAACAAAATAAGGAAAGATAATAAACAATTGTGTGTCTTTTTGCATGCAAATGTATTGAAAGTTTAGTGCTTCAGAGTCCAAACAAGTCGCTGCTAAATTATGTAGACCTATGAATTAAATATTTAAAAGTAAAATTTATATATTAACATAGCCTTATTGTCTCTGCGAGGCTGGAATGTTAATGCATTAAAAGAGTTGCTTTCTGAGACAAATAGCTTTTCATTAAAACATTGGCACATGCCACGACGAGACGCTCCTTCCATGAACCGCCATATACGCCTCAATATTCAGAGAAAGAGTGATAAAAAATGATAAATAACTCAGAAAGGTATGTGCCAAAGAACGCAGTGGTGACCTTTTTTGTTCAAGTTCGGATCGGTCATATCTGCCGAGGGAGGGGTGCTGGGTGACCAATGCCTTATCAAAAATGTGTCATAATTCGAAAAGGCGGGTGGAGACGGGAGTTTAAATTGAAAGAAATGGCTTAAATTAGGGATTAGTACTGAAAAATCCGTTTTCCTTCAGGACTGGTACTGGTGGGTGACAAAAGGCACAAGAAGGCACTAGCATAGTGCGGACCCAGAAGCATCATAGTGGCCTCTTGAGATGAGCCAATTTCCCTACAAAGACGGCGACACCGGTTTTAGACCGGTTGAACCAGCAACATGTATTCTACAGAAACAGTACGATGTCGATGCCGAGTCAGACGCGGAGGACGAGATGGTGACAACGGAACGCGAGCTCGCAGAAGATGCCCAGTGGAAAAAAATTCAGCAAAATACGTTTACGCGATGGGCCAACGAACACCTCAAAACGGTTTCAAAACACATAGGGAATTTAGAGACGGATCTTAGTGACGGGCTTCGCCTCATCTCCCTCATCGAGGTACTGGCAAATAAACGGCTGCCGAAGCACACCAAGAAACCGTCTTTTCGATCTCAGAAGTTGGAAAATGTGTCAGTGGCCCTCAAGTTCTTGCAAGACGACGAAGGAATCAGGATTGTTAATATCGGTAAGTCCCAACTGCCGCATTAGTATTTCACTTCACATTTTAGTTGGTATGTCTTGTGCGCATTTTTTCGCATTATTTACTGGATATATATTTCTGCAAAAACCGCAGCAATCATGACCTTCAGTTAGTTATTGGGCACTGCCTAATTTTACTTTGTTTGGTGCTAAAAGATGGCTATTTACATAACTTGTTTTAACTAATACTGACATTAAAAACAACCGTTTGCCGGATTTTTTGAACAATTATTAAACAGCGAGGAACTTAACTTATTACACTGGCCGAAACTATTATGTGTCACAAAACCCCTTGTACATCAGAAGCGCGTTAAATGGACAATTTTGCAAAAATTGATTGTTAAATGAAGAGCAAACTATAAGTCTTCAGCGAAAAAAATTTTGGACCCTGAAAACGCCTTTTCTTTGGGCAAGGCTTTAGAGTATTACGCTAAAAGCTCAAAAATGTATTTTCACCAAAATTATCTAAAATGCATATGGTATTCCGTAACAGATGCAGAAGTAGAATCCAATCGGTAGCTAAAGATGTTTGCAGTGGTTTTTCTAGACCGAACGGTCACGGTAATTAATAGCCTAGAATCCGACCAACTGTTCTTGCGAAAAAAATCGAAAAATTCGTCTGTCTGGTTCATTAGAAGCAGTTTATTCCATATTAGAGGCACTTTATGGTGTTAGTTTTCTTTAACGACGGCCAGTTAACGTCTCTATACAGGGTGCTCAAACCCTCCAGATTTTCTGCAATTAATTCAAAATTATTTTCAAATTAAATCTCTTATCTGTTTGCAGCGCTGACTCACAGCACTTAAAACATGAGTGTGCATAAATTGATGGAATGAAGTAAAGAGCCACATATAATAGAAATGACGTGATTAGAAATTATGTTTATTATTATCGTGCTCAACCCAGTGAGAAAGTCCAAACTAATATATCTGGAGAGCTGCTCAGAACAATGAAGTTTCTCTGGCTTTTTCATTAGTTTCATTTTATTTCTGTTTCATAGTTTTAAGATCAAATTGTCATAAAAAGTTCTGCAGGATCTAGGATTTGGCTCAAAAGTAAAGTCGCCTTTTTTGACAATACATACTTTCACTTCAATGTACAGTTTTCGAACAGCAGATTTTACAAATCTTTTCAAAAATTAATTATTTCCTGTAAAAAAATAAATTTGTAAGTTGTACGTCGTTGGTGTAAAAACACGATAAACTTTCAGTTCGGATGCAAGTAAAGTACAGGTCTAAAAATGTGTTTTTAGCACGGGTTTCAAGCCTATTAGCTCTCATCAGCCAGGTTTGGCCTGAAAATAACACTCCAAATTCAATTTCGCAAAAAAAATTCATTAACTTGACTTGTGGAACACCCTGTAAAGAACCACGTAAAAAAAAACAATATTGTATCATCCTTCTAAATTAAAGTGACCACATTATCATTGAGACAAAGCGGACAAATGGGATGAAGTGAAAATTGCAATTTAGTTAGAATATATTTTTTATTTTGTATTTATTATTAATTATTGGTGACTATAAAAATAATTGTAAAAAATTATAATTTGAACATCAACATCAAATTAAATTTTTTATTTAAAAAAATTATGATTTTTTTTCACGGTCATATTCTTGATCCGAGCGAATACTTTGCAATAGATTCGGATTTTTTATTAAAATGCGAAATATTTCACACATTTGACATGGATTGGTCAAATTATATTTTACACTTTATATAGATTTTAAAGTTTTAATGTTCAAATGTGAATATGTTTTTGCAGTACATTTAAAATAAGAAATACAGGAATACATTTAAAAAAATCGGCGGGACGCGGGACAGTCCAACAAAAAGCCGGACTGTCCCGCCAAAATCGGGACGTGTGGTCACTTTATTCTAAACTGATTTGACCCCGTATATCGTCTTAATTACTGAAAATCCGAATTTACTACAGATAGAGTGTACCTACTTAGCGATTTTAAGCCGACATTAAGCCGACTTTATTCCTTATTGGCCCATTTTCGTTTTAAATCAAGTTTTTGTATCTTAAATTGCGCCGCCAAATAATGGAGCTGAAGCATTGCCAAATATGGAACATCGATAATCACGTTTCAAATCCCAAGTGTTTTTGTTATGAGAGTTGGACCCGATTTTGTTAATTTTCGGTTCAGAAGGTTAAATAGTAGCAGAGGCGAAGCTTGATTTTTCAATCTTATTACTTGGTATCTCATACGTAACTAAGGCCATTGTTTAGTAAATGCTGTTGCAACCTTTCTAAAATATACAAGTGGCATTTTTTTTTCGTTTCAACTCATTGAAATTACGCGTTGTGTCTAATGTTAAATTGCGAATTATTGTTGAATTGTATAACGCAACGATAGCTAAAAATGATTTTGTAAACCAGAAGTTGATATTGTTGCGATTTGCAATCGTTTCATTATCTAGGAGACTAACTGTGAAGGCGTTTTAGCACTGAAAAGGGTCTATATTAAAATGTATTGGTGTCTTTCGGACACTCCCACCACTAATTGCTTTCCGCCAATCTTAGAAGTTTTCATGCTCCTTAGAAAACGCCCTACGAAAGGGCAACACCTTAGAAAAGCGAAACGTAAAATCAGCATTTCCTACTTCAATTATTGGCAATTCCATCCGAAGTTTTTCTTTTTGTTAGATCTCATCTGTTATGATGAAACCAGGCTCAAGACATAAATTGAAGTTGATATAAATTTGCTAAAAGTGGAAAGGATAGCTAAATAAAATAATTTTGTAAAGCCGAAGTTGATATTGTTGCGATTCCATTATCTAGGTGTTTTAAATGCTTGCTTAATTGTGGAATATACACAGTGATTCATGAATATTTCGCTTGGATTGGACTTCGTAAGTGATCTCATTCAGAGCGCAAATATTTATCTTCAAGTATTTACCGTTTGCATTTGTAATGACATATTTTGCCCAGCCTTATATTTGCATTAAGGCATCTTATCATTTTCAATGTTTGTTTTTCAAAATATACATGGAAATCGAATTTGACTTCGATACAACTAATGATACCGATTTAAGGCGCGGCTTCCTTACATACCGCATATCTCCGATTTGAGACTATGCTGATTTTATCAGTCGTTCATAATTGGTATTCATGTTCATTGTGTGCTGTTTAATATCAGTTTTGATTGAAACCGATCACCACTTGGAAGTTTAAATTGAATTGGAATGGGAAAACTCTCCTACGTTGCATTTCTTGGAATAACACTTTAATCGCTAATCTACAGACAGTACCGTTTACTTGATATTACAAATGGTGTCACAAACTATTTATTTTTCAGTATATTTCCTATTAAAATTATTTAACGCAATAGTAGATCCCAATCACTTAAGAAAAAAAATGCAAAGCCCCATAACTTAGAAAGCAAAGTCGGTTTGGGTGTTGCACATAGTGACCGAATGTTTTTCATTCCGTTCAAGTTGGCTAATTAAGTAATTTAGCGTAAAACATAATTACTACTTGAATAGAATATTCGTCAAAAATTAAAAGGCGCTAAATATAGCAAAAGTGAGCGCTTTGGCAGCCCGCACAAGAAAAAATGTTTCGTCGAGCAAACCACCTTTGAAGATGCAAGCCACTCGTGCTTGCGAAACGTCAGGAAGAAATCATTTTGCACGACGACCTTAAAGCCCGAAAAACCAGTTTAAGTTGCGTACATTTTATCTGCCTAAATCTATAGTGCGTACGTTTTGTGCCATGTAGATAGGTAGTACCTACCTAGATACTATTATTGGACATGCCGCGAATTCCCAAGTCTGCAATTTTATCTTCACTTGTATATGTGGGGTTTGCCATCAAAACAAACAACATCGCTACCAAAGCTACCATCAACTTTGTTTGATGAAATCTAAATATAATACCTTACTTACACTTTATGTTCATTTACGTTCAACGAAATGGAAATAAAGCTGTCCCATAAATATGTTAAAGCTGAAATATCATATCATTTTCGTTGTTCAAATTAAGCCTAATAAAAATCATATTTATCAACAGATTAAATTAATGGCTGTTATCCAAATGTAGCGTCACATCCACAAATGTCTTGTCCTTTTCCGATATTAAGCAGCGACTTTTTGTCGTGTTGTCAGAATTATAATTTAACTTTATTAAGAGGCTGTTTTATTGTTAACAACTCGTTCAGTTGTCTGAGTGCATTTTGCATCAAGTGTTTAATTGTTTTTATTTTTATTTCATTCAGTGCTAAATAAATTGAATAACTAGCACACGCATTAAAATTGTTGTTAAATTGATGCGGTTTAAAATAATAAAAAATTAAATATATGCTTGATTATCATAATTACACGTTCATTCAGCAATAGTGTCTTTGACCCCATTTTAGTAATTATTTATATTTTCCTGCTGCAAATGTACTGATGAGTGATATGATTGCTGTTGGAATCGTCTGTTAAAAAACATTACTCACTTGAAAACGGAAGAAAACTGGGCAGTTTGGAATAAAAACTTCAAAAAACTTCAACAAATTATTATTACGAATCCAAATTTGAGAAATGAGAAATTGAGAAATTTTTGTCATTCCTGAATTCCCATTGCTTCAGTCAGAGATGACGAATTACATTCCAAAAAATCAGCCTGTGACGGTATTACAACCCAAACAGAACGGATGTCCGTTATTACCTACTAAAAAATTATTTCTTCGAAATTCCTTAGTCTACTCCAGTCTACTCTGAACAGACCAAGGACACAGTCTCTTAAGATATACGTTGCGATTTTAGCCTCATTCTTTGATGGCTTATACCATATCCACCGTCTGTTTTTTTAAGGCGAACACCTTGAAGATTTATTCCATTAATTATCCACGATGAGATAATCGGCTGGCGGCTAGATAATTTATTCAATGCAGTTTAAGGTCGTTATTATTTATATCTGCGAACTCGGCCCGCATAATTATGGTTCTTTTCGTACAATCATTCCGCAGACTTTCAAGCTATTCTAGGTCATAATCTAGATTATGGGTTTCAGCCTGAAAATGGCTACTTTTCGTGTATAAATGCTTTTTATATTCCGAAAGTAGAAAAGCCACAAAATAGCCTAAAAAGAGCGCATCATCAGTAAGTCGCTGAATGTTTTCAGACTCTCTCCAGCTTAAGAGGGCAATAAAATTGGTAAAATTTGGTTTATTTCTACTCCACCGAGGTCTTCAAATATTTACGACAAATTCAACAAATAAACCTCACTAATGTATTCACCTTGTATAGAAAGGATCACTGCTATTTTTAGAAATGGATAAAATCGGCTCGTAAGTGTTATTACTGTGTATGGAAATTTCAATATTACATTCTACTCTTATCGAGATTCGTGTGGTTTTTTCAATGAATTTGGTTTTGTAATATTTTATTTTTTGACCGTGAGCTAACTGTTTCAACCACAAGTGAACACATGAAATAATCACAAATAAAAAGTTTCAATCGATCTTTAATGAGAGAAGTACCCTTATCGAGATTGGTGCGGTTCCTTCAATGAATTTGATTTTGTCACTTTTTTGTGAGCGTGAACTAACTGGTTCAACCACCAGATCACACAAGAAATAATGAAAAAAATCCAATTGTTTCAATCGAAACAATTCAAAAATTATTCATAAAACATGTTTCAACAATTCTAAATCGCCTTCAAGTTTCAAGCTTCGATCTTTGACGAGAGACTTAAAAAAAAAAATCGGTAAATTTCATAGAAAATGTTCGCTAGAGCTGCATGTCTGGAACGCTCTATGTAAAAGCTCATTTGGCTTTCGCGCACTGTAAATATATTGTCTGAAAATTCAAAAAAAAAACTCCATATTATATGCCAGAGAGGAAGTCGTATATTAAATTGATAGATTGCAATATGAACAATGCTTGCAAGTGCAACGCAATCGGTAATTGAAAACGATGATCTAAGACAGAATGCCAATGATTCATTGCATATGCTGCTTAATGAATATGACCGGTTCCAGTAATATGATGAACAAATAAAAAAGTTAGAGGATACGTACTAAGCAAAGTTTAATGAACGCTAGATACAATTAGAACATTTTGTCATATCCCAGTCAACTTACTGGCTGAATACGATTTACGCTACCTACTGAAAAATTTGTTTTTTTCAGATTCCACGCATATTGTAGACTGCAAACTAAAACTAATCCTAGGTTTGATATGGACGTTAATTTTGCATTATTCAATATCATTGCCAGTATGGGAAGGCGAAGACGATATGAGCAATGGTGGTACGGAATCCACCCCCAAGCAAAGGTAAGAAAATATTTGAAAATGTCCCAAAAGGGAAATGTGTCTAACACAAATACTTGTTGCAGATTAATGAATTGGATCCAAAGCAAAATTCCAGACCTCCCAATCAGGAACTTCACGACAGATTGGAATGATGGGAAGCGTTTGGGCGCTTTGGTGGACTCAGTGGCACCCGGATTATGCCCTGATTGGCCTGTACGAATCCAATCTTCTGCTTGCAAATTAATTTTCGCCAGCCCAATATTTCTTTTTAGGATTGGGATCCAAAGGACTCTGTCCAAAATGCGTCAGAAGCAATGGGCTTAGCAGACGATTGGCTGAATATTCCACAACTGATAAGACCAGAAGAAATTGTGAACCCCAACATAGATGAACAATCCATGATGACATATTTATCTCAGTATCCCAATGCCAAGCTTAAGCAAGACGCGCCTCTTCGGCCTAGAACTAGCCCAAATAAGTAAGTTTTTAAACACCCAGTCTGCCCTTCTTAGTTTCTTATTATAAAACATCAGAATTCGTTTTAAAACACTGGAACGGCGAGAGATCAAAATCAATAGAGTCCAAATGCGGCAAAAACTGTTCATATCATCAGTTTTCCGTAGTTCGTTCCCCTCTTGAATTTATTGAAATAAATTTTGTTTGCCTGGAAATAAATTAAATTTATTAACCGTTTTCTTTGTTTATGTTCAGAATTGCACCGCCTAGGTAAGTGCCCTTTAGAACTTGAAAGTGACTTGATTAACATAAAACGAGTGCTATCATGTGATAGGTCATAACTAACTATTTCAACATTGATTTTCAATAATGAAACCACCAGAAAAGCGGCAAACGTTTCTTCACTGAAGTTTCAATCACAGTTATTTTTCTGGTGGTTGGTGTTGTCACTGCTCTTCACTTCTCATCAATTTGCAATTTTTCACTAATCTCGTCTAGTTGGTTGTTAAGTGTTTGAAACAGTTCGGCTGTTTTTAGAGCGGCCGGATTAAGGCCGAGACACATCTATCCGATCCGACTCCGATC